GTGAATTGAATATCAATCAATATTGCTGTCACTGCTATCAAAAGAATAGTTGGATCTACAATTATTACCAATCAATCAATTGTTAATTTGATAACTTTTAGCTACAAGTTGCTTCATTATCTGTGTAGCTTTGCTAGCAGCTTTGCAATTCAGAGCAGGACTAGTTATCAGAAAGAAAACAAATCTAGGATTCAGGTTGATTTGTACAACCTTGAAATCTTGACTCGTTTTCAGAAAACTGCTGAATTGCTATTCCTATTTGTTTCTCTATATCGCTCTAGCCTTGGTGTATGACCTAATTGGTTATATTTAAGAGAAAGAAATGATATCACTTATTTGCTCTCGATTTTTTTTATCTTTTTATTCCCTTTATACACAAGGTTGATGATAATAACTTGACTCTTATATATTTTTCTCTCATTATTCCTTTTGTACACACGCTCAACAATAATAACTAGTACTTTTTTACACTAGAAAGGGGTATTTCTGTCAATGTTTCTGTTTTATTGCTTGTTATGACCTATACACAAGCAATGATAATAGGAGTGTCTCCCTTTGCGCAATAATGCGCGCTATATTGTACGCAATCCTGCTATATTTGGGCAAACTCCGCTCCATACCTCTGAGGAAAAAATTTTGCATAAAAATTGTGATTGCTTGCGTAGTGCCATAGCGCAGCTTGCGCTGCACAACACAGATGATGTCAGCCCTGGGTACATATGCATGTACCCAAAACTAACTTGTAGCATAAAATTATCATATAGAAACCTAATTACAGATACATACCGTCTATAAATGGTACGTAACATGTAAGAAAGTATATAAAATTACTTATTACATATACACGTACACTTAAAATACCATGTAATATGTAATAACACATCAAGTACACCTCATAACTCAGTGTCAAGAGTTAGTATGCTTATAGTACATAACACATAATTAATATTACCATATATAATTAAGTACAAACAATAATCATAATTAATAATAATTTCTAAATGATTCTAGTGATGGAAACAAATAGCACTACAGTTAGGTTTGGAGAGAAGAGTATATAAACCCCTCCTCTCTCAGCCTTGAGAGAGTTCCCCCCAAGATTTTATTACACACTACTTTGAAAGAACCACTTTAAAGTAATATTGAAGTACATTGTCAAGAGTCTTATAACTGTAAGACTAGTGATTTACTTCATTACTTTAAGAAGTTTCCTGACTAAAAGTAAGTAATACATTCTTCATTCCATCTCTGGATCCTCTACTTCCCCTAAGTAGAAAAAAATAGGTTGGTGACCATAAAACAACCCAAGGTTGGTGACCGTAGAAAATTCCAAGGTTGGTGACCATAAGAACTACCCAGGGTTAGTGACCATAGAACAACTAGTCTAGTGAACTCCAAACCACTCTTTAATCTGTCACTTGAAGATTAAAGGAAGGACTAGGATCCACCCTTCACCACTTATAATCTTATATCATTATCATCCAAACCTCCTTTTAAGGAGTCACCTAGCTGTAGTCTGTCAGGATTTATCCTTTCAGACCAGTATCTTCCCTTCCTCATCCCCTTTCTTTGTTTATAATTCCTTGTAACTACATTATATTTGAAATATAATTATAATTACTTGAATTATAAGACCCACCTTGCCCAATTAGTGAGCCCTGAGTACTCAAAAGAGTAACCAACCCTCACAGATGAGGTCAAAACTTATTGTGTTGTGTAGCAGTTGCAGTATTGGTGATATAAACAAATATCACTACAGTTAGGTTTAGAGAAGAGATTATCACTGTAAACATTATAAATTATCCCCAAGTGGAACTGTGAAAATGATGATTATTGTAGTTTGTCATCAAAATATCTATCACTGTACACCTGAGCCCTAACACCCACACTACATATATGCAACAAGCTGAGCAAATTATCAGCTATCATGTATATACAGGTCTGCTCAGTTCCCTGCTCATCTGAAGAGGTAAATCACATGTGATACTTCATGTAATTTTTTCCAGTTTGACAAAATTGTCCTAAAAATTGACTACATATACTTCCATAACTACTCATGTAATACTCTGAAAGCCATTCAACAGTAACAGAAAGAGTGTTACATGAGGTTTAGTTGATGGAATTACACCAAAACTATGAGTCAGTGTATGTAGTCAATTTTTGGAATGCTTTTGTCAAACTTAACAAAATCACAGAAAGTATTACATATGATCCACTCATTCAGATGAGCCAATAGCTGAGCAGCTCTGTATGTACATGATAGCTCCCAATTTTCCCCTCCTTCTGCACATATGTAGTGGGTGCCTTGGCTAAGGTGTGCACTGATATATCTTTCATGACAAACTACAATCTTATTTTCCCATTTCCACTTGGGGATAGTGTATAATGTTTACAGTGTAATATAAATTCCTCCTCTCTCAGCCTTCACAGGTTTCCCCCAAGCCTTTATTACACATCACGTTTAAAGAACAACTTTAACATAATATTAAGGTTCATAATCAAGAGTCTTATAATAATTAGACTAGTAATTTACTTCATTACTTTAAATAGCTTCCTGACTAAAAGTAAGTAACACTTCCTTCACTCTTTTGGAGAGTTGCAGTATCATTCTTTTGCTGAGACTGCCTGAGGAAATCCCTGGGACATTCAGGGATAGTACAATTTCTTCCAGAGTGGCACTTTTTCTTCAAGAGAGGTGTGTTTTTGTTTCCTCTGAACGTCATCAACCTCCCCAAGCCTGTACAAAGGGATTCTGTAGGATTGATGGATCTGTAAGAGAAGGAACAGACATTAATTTGTTCAAAACATCAAATCAAGTGTTTGCTTTCAATTTTTTTCTTACAAAATTCTCCATTTAAATCAGGAGTAGTTTGATGGTCTTCAAAAGGATAAATCATTTCTTTTGAATCAGACAATAAAACATTTCTAAATTCAAAATCTTGATTGTTTCAATGAGGTTTAAAGTCTCTTGATTAAGTTTTAAAATATCCTGATCTTATTCTTCACATTCAACTGAATCACATGCTAATTGTATCAATGTTTCCAATGATGCTTTCAGTCCTCTGATTTCAATTTTGGTTGCATTCATATTGAAGGTCTTAAATTTTGTTTGTGTCATTGGATTGTCTACTTTAGTTTGTAAATTATTGGGTTCAATTCTTTGCATGGAATCATTTATGTTACGTGATTCCATTGATAAATGGGGTAAGATTCCAACATCAAGCCATTGTTTTTGAGTTGGGATATGATGGTGCCATGAAAGCTTCAGATTGTAAGTCACGCAGAACAAGTGAAATATTTGCATATGTTCCAAGATAGCAATCAATATGTGGATTAGAATACTTCATGGTTCTTGATTAGGATGCTCTCAAATTGTATGGCTTGTTTGTGATGGGATTTAAGTGAAAAAATGAACTATTGAGTGCCATGGGTGTCCACCACACTATATGATGGGTGCACAGCAAGACACTATTCTCTGTAGCTGCTTGGTTTTCTCACGGAGATTCTCACAGCAAGGTGTTCTCAGGATAAAACTGATGCTGTTATGCTACCACCCTTTTGGATCCTCTACTGTCCCCAAGTAAATTCTATACTAAGTTGGTGAGCTTTAACAACTCAAAGGGTAGTGGACTATACACATACAAGTACTTAAGTTGGTGACCTTAAGAACAACCCAAGGTTGGTGGCCTTCAACAACTCAAAGGGTAGTGGACTCTTTACAAGTACTTAGGTTGGTGACCATAAGAACAACCCAAGGTTGGTGACCATAAGGACAACCAGAGTATAGTGGGAGCCATCAAGAGCCACTCAATTGGATAATTTTTCAAAAAAGATTGCTGAAGTCACAAATATCACTCAATCCAAAAATCAAGATACTTTTGGGGTCCTTTTGTTCACAGCTATTCAAAAATATCCTCACAAGACCAATTTTGAAAGTTTTTTTATCTTTATTTCTGATGGTCAAGGGTGCACCAGATGAAAATCAGATTGTTTGTTGTGATTGCAAATTACCCAGTCTGTGGCTTCTTGCCTCTTGATGGGTCCCACTATAGTGATATAGACCTCACTCTCTAGGAAAGACTTGAATCCAGCTTTCTTCAATTATGCTATTTTATTACAATTGTAATTGTAAACCTCCTTTTAAGGAGTCATTTAACCGTAGTCTGTCTGGATTTATCCAAACAGACCAGTTCCTTCCTCTTTTTCCTGCCTCTTTTATGAATTTGTTTGTAATTACTTCATATTTTAAATATAAATATAAGCCCTCAAATCTATAAACCCCGCTCTTCCCCAAATCAGTGAGCCTTGAGTCATTGAGTACCCAACCGTCACACCTATGGTAAAGTAAAATAGTATTATAGAGGCTGCAAAGATCACACTCAAGGGTAAGACTTCTTTGGAATGTCTGAATGAAACAAACATAAGTCTACTACTAAGTGTAGACTTTTATGAAATCACCCACACTAAATGATTATACCAATTAAGAGTGGACTGCAAAAGGCGGGCTCAAGTGTCAATGACAACTTGCACGCTGTTGTACACTGTATTGCCACGGGTTTGGCACACCACAGGGTGGGTTGAGAAGGATGATCTTCTCAGGCCTTTTACTGCCCCAAAGGTGAAGAGTCTTGGACAGGGGTTTTGTCCCCATACTAGACCCATTGATCATTTTTGTGACTACCTCCACATCGCACTCCAATGGTTTACTAGTCTCCAGGTAAGAGACCAGATTTCACAATGGTAGAACTGGTGTTGAACTCCTTGAGAATGATGGAAGTCTCTGAAGCATAACATCTGCAAATCCCAATCTGTCTTGATATTGCTCTCCACAAATGATGAATGAATCACAAGTCACAATTCTTTCATCAAAACTCTTACTCTGCTTATTGACAATTGTTGCATGAATAATTCTTGTATGATTATCAAGGTAGCTATTCCATTTCAGAAACACTTCTCCAAGACTTGAAGAGTGGATATAAGACTTGGCGGTTCCAATTGACTTATACTACAAATCTCACCGCCTCTCTTTGTACAATATCTTCATCCAATGCCCGGACAGCTTTGACAGTATTCAATTCATCCTTTGCATCTTCAGGAGGACAAAGGTCTGTGAGTTCAAGTTTGACGCTGCTTCCATTGGTCGTGTTTATTGATTGACCAGAGCAGTCAAGGTCTTTCTCTGTGTCACGGAGTCGGCACGACTGTCTGACCTCTCTGTGCATTTTCAAGGTTCGTCTTGCCTGTTTATTGAGAACCCATTCAACACTGAACATTTCATTTAAGATTAGAGTGCGATTAAACTATGATGGAATCTGAAGGGAAAGAAGACTCAACATGTTCCCAGTGATGGCGAAAGGACCGTGCAATCCCTGTGATCAGGCAAACGATCAGCATACATTCCAAACTTTGATAAAAGTGAAGGAGCTGAGCAAACTGACGATTTGCGTGAGAACAAGCCATTTCTCGTCTTGCACAAAAGTCGGCCCTTTGTATGCGAACTATGTTCAAAAAGACAGCATAATGAGAAAGAGGAGGTCAATTACGTGAGACTATGAGACTATGAACTTACTTGGAATGCTACAATAGGGATAAAGATTGATGTTGATAAGTATGCCATGATTGCATGTTGTACTAGAGTTCGATGGTCCTCGTCTAATCTACGCTGAATTTTTTGCCAGTGAACGGACTGCTCTGCGGTGCAAGTTGCCATTGAAAAAGTGCACTCCCTGGTTTTCTTGCGAATGGCACCTATGGATATTATTAGCAGTGGTACGTAAAGCTGATATATATTGATAAATGTCGGATTAGATCAAGGTCATCTCTCATGAACAACCGAATTGAGAAAATGAGTGACCCACCACACATAAGACAATCAAGTCGACGAGCGCAGCTATGATCCCCAATCTGAACCAGTGCGCCATTCGATCCTAAGCAAATGCATCGACGCGTCATCGTTAGTTCTCAGATACCCAGGAAGGTCTTACTTGTGATCACTCACTCGATGTACTGTCAGCTGTCTTGCAGGTATCAACCTTACCAACAGGTCCATCCGGCTATAGTTGGATATGTCGACCGCCATCCCTTGATGACGCAAGTCTGACGTGATAGCTCTTGCTAACTCCCGCAGCTTCTGGTGTTCCTGCTCCGCGCCAAATAATGTTACAAAGAAAGTGGCTGCTCCGAAATGGAATCAAGAGCTGCTAATTAGCGGTGAACACCAACACGATCAGAAGAAAAGAGACCTACGTAGGGTCCAAAGAGATAAACAAATGAATAATCCGTTCAGGCTCCAACGAAGAGGTGTTGGAAGTACCAATGTTCTTTTCTGCGGGGAAACCAAACACCATGACTTATCCCACAAGGACGTCAGACACTGGCAAAAACACACCCAAAGGAACACTGAAAAGAACCATGGAGATCTATATATTCAACTACTGTTCATCACGTGAAAGGAGAGGACCGATGGAAACGAGATGGACAAACCCCTAGAATTCGAACCATCAAAAGCACACATCAGTATGACATAAAGTGTCAGGTTTTCTTGTTTCTAGGTGCTTACCAAGATCCTACAAGGACCACTGCAAACTTGATACCAAATAGAGGGAGTTTATTGCGATCAGAAACATAGCCCGCATCTATAAGCTGTTGAAAGGTCAAATCCGCCAACACCACTGCGTCGCGTGGATCAAATCGATGTTCAAGTTCAGCAAGAATAAGGGTATGACTTTATACATCTCTGCGTGTGACGTTTTGCTTACGTGAAGTATAGAACAAGTATACCAATCCAGTCATATTGGGAACATCTATCTTCAAGATGTTCACTACGACCCATCATCCAAAATCACAATCAGGATAGTTGTTCTGGCAAATAAGTCACAGGAATTTACTCACGTCTTGTGAAAGAATAGAACCTGAACGTTCTCGTTACAATCCTGATGTACAATAAATGCAAGCATTGGAAAAGCATTCTAGAAAGTATATAAAACAGGTATCAACATCACCCTTGGATTGAGATGTAAGGTTCAAACGGATACAAGTACATACATAACATAGCACCCCGCGATCACTGCGGAAAGAATCCTAACCCATTTTGGCATCAAGACAGACTATACTCCAGGAAAACGCCGTGGTCGCAGGGTGAAACACATTTGATCATGTTAACATGTTCACACCGAGAGTATTTGAGAGCCGGAAGATTTGACTGACCTTAGTTTGTTGATCAAGGTAAGTAGCGGCAGCGTAATATGGATTTACGCTGGGTGGTATTTGCATCACAAAGGCCACCATCTTCTGTTCCTCTGGCTGGACCATCGTCTCTGATTCTCACCACTCAAATGATATTCTTGATGTACGCAATTATTCGGAAAAGTAGCCTAGCAAATAGAGAAGTTTTAGGCCAGTCAAATCCGAGATCAATCAATGTTCAAGTCAGGTGTTGAGAGTGGGCAGGTAACTGTGACCAAGTCAAAGGCTAAATGGTTTGGCAGTGGTTGGTCATCCAAGACCATGAATTCTTTTCGAAAAACTCGTGCTTGGTGTTCAAGTTAAGCGAGATAGGTGTCTGACACCGGTTGAACCGGAACCTTAGCGCATATGTGGCAATTGATATTTTTGAATTCCTTTTGGAATTTGAATCAGGATTGACTATATACTTTTGACGATATTGATTACTTGAACTTCGAGTTTTCAAACGAAGAAGTGAAAACTCACCACGCTCAGCTGCATGGATAAAGATAGATATAAAGATGTTTAAACTCAACAAAGTTCCACGCGGTCGCTCGAGACTCGAGCCCCGCGACAGCGTGAGACTTGGTTAAGTTCAGTCAGCATCGAACTTCAACACCGGTTAATTTCAAATGTCCGGTACGATGCCGAGCCTCGGGCCGTTGGGGAAGGACTTACAAGTTAAGTTTGGGACATACGATGCAAGCTTAACTAAGTCGCTCTTGAGCTCGAGCCGCTCAAACGAATGACTTCAACGCATTGATTTTTTGGCCTGAGATTGGCCGGGGCTTTTCGCCAAAAACTGGCCTATAAAACTATGTTATACAATTTCAAGTGAGTTTTGGTTCTTCAATGATAAAAACTGATAATTACATACCTAAAAGATGATCCAAACTTGTTCAAGGTCATTTTCAGGGATATCAAACTTGCTAGTGATTTGTCCAAAGGTGGTGAGGTTGGTCAAGGTAAGTGTGTGAGTATCATTTGAAGTACTACTGGGCTTAGAGTTGATGATGTGCCTGTTCAAAGTTGAATTGGATGTTGAAATGAATGTGTTGTCCTCAGCAAAGGGGTCATCAGAGTGATCATCCAGGAATTTGTAAGTTTTGGGGGGTTCTTCTGCCTCAATGGTTTTTGTATGTTTGCTATGGATGCAGATAAGGTCTTCATCTTGACAAGTTGAAAGGGAATTTTGCCCTTGTTTGGATGAGTTAGAAGATTGGTGATAAATATACACAGTGTAAAAACTCAAGTGTCAGGTCGACGTGCTCACACAAATGACATCTCATAGAGGGTGGATACAAGCTTCAGATGATCTTAAGCACCATGCACAGACAGCCCTTCTTGAGTTCCTCAGGCAGTGAGACCGTTAGACATAGGAAGTCAGATATCCTTTCCTGAGACTAAAGGGGTGCTAGAATTTCACCAAAGTCTGACAAAGAAACTGAATGAAAAAAGTGTCATTTTTTTTCCAAACCTCTCTGTGTGTGCACTTTGATGAGCCATAGTAAGATGGACGCTGTGATAGAGATTGGGATGAGGAGGTGGTGGTGGTAGGGGATACTCAAGTAAGTACAGGGTGTTGGGTGACTCTTGATAATGATTGTTTGGTGGAAATGTTGGCTGTGTTTGATGTTGTTGATGTACTGCTGGAGAGAGGGTGCCTGGGGGTTGCCTAGCCAGTACATGATAAGGATTATGTTGTAACATATCTGGATGTATTGCTGGATATTGTCATGCTTGTGGAATCTATAAGGTATATTGTGCATGACTTAGATCCCACTGTTTTAGCATAAGATAACATCACAGGAAAAGTCAACAAATTAATGTATTCACCATGTCCCCGGGTAGTGTTTGCTCATCAACAAGCGCACACAACTTCCCTTTCTGCCTCAAAGGGAGTTGGACCTCAGTGTGTGCTCATTGACACGCAAACCCTAAACAGACACAGTGATTGGTTCAAAGAAAAATTGAGCAAATTCTGAAGGCTCACTTTCGATGAAGTTAGAGTGGACTTGCCTTAGGACCTCCCTCAATAGGTTGTGTGTCAATACCAGTTAATTGTTGGGTTTTGACAAGGCACAAGGAATAACCCCCATCCATGTTGCAGGAGTCTAGGGGATATCCCCCGGTTACCACATAACTGGCCATGCCAGACACACAGATGGTCAGATGACAAATCCTACAGTCTCTCAAAGACTCCTTGTTGACCTTTGAGCTCTTTTGTACCATCATTTTTCCCTCCCACAGCTCCAGAAAAAGCTTTCTCTTCAGGCCTTTTTCCCTCTGCCTTGCTTTTCCTCTTTCCCTTATCTCATCACCTAAGAGCTCACATCCCACTCATTCTTCAAACCCACAATTTCAAAGAACCCTTCTGCCCAAGGTTTGATCAAAGCTTCTTCCCCCTCTCTCTGTCTCACCCCCTGCCTTCAGACATCTGACAACATTGGCCTCCAAGGAAACCCTCACAAGTCTTTCATCAGAAGGAGCTTGTGAGTCCCTCATCAAAAAGGCCCAGGGTCTAGGCTTTCACCCGCCAAGGGTAAGCCTCACTTTAGGCCTCCTCAGCTGTGTAAAGCAACTCTTGCTCACCAACTCACCACCTAGAGTGAGTGATGGACGCAGGCCCCAATGACAGACCTGCCTGTGATTGAAGGCTTAGAACTCTGCAAAGTTTTTAATCCTTCATGCTCTCCAAGAAAGAGTGGAACAGTCAGACCTAAAACCTACAATCTTGGCTAACGACCCAATCCCTACACATATACCAATACCTACCACAACACATCAAATACACGGAACCCAATCCCCTCTAAAAAAATATTCACTTTAGTATCATGAATATCTAATCAGATATTATCTTTTCTTAAAGCCAAGCTTGAATCACCACACTGGTACGATAAATATTTTCCAAATGACAACTGTTACTAGGTATATTTATTTCCTCATATCTCTACACAGATAAACAAGATACTTACCATCCTTTTCATCTATGTATTCACATATCATAAAAATCATTTTGCTACAATCTTAGCTAATGATCCAATCCCTACACATATACCTATACCTACCAAAACACATCAAATACATGGAACCCAATCCCCTCTGACAAAAAAAATATTCACTTTAGTATCATGAATATCTAATCAGATATTATCTTTTCTTAAAGCCAAGCTTGAATCACCACACTGGTACGATAAATATTTTCCAAATGACAACTGTTACTAGGTATATTTATTTCCTCATATCCCCACACAGATAAACAAGATCCTGCTTACTATCCTTTTTATCTATGTATTCACATATCATAAAAATCATTTTCCTACAATCTTAGCTAATGATCCAATCCCTACACATATACCTATACCTACCAAAACACATCAAATACATGGAACCCAATCCCCTCTGACAAAAAAAATATTCACTTTAGTATCATCAATATCTAATCAGATATTATCTTTTCTTAAAGCCAAGCCTAAACCAACACACTGGTACAATAAATCTTTTTTGTATGCCAACTGTTACTAGGTATATTTATTTCCTCATATCCCCACACAGATAAACAAGATCCTGCTTACTATCCTTTTTATCTATGTATTCACATATCATAAAAATCATTTTCCTACAATCTTAGCTAATGATCCAATCCCTACACATATACCTATACCTACCATAAAACATCAAAAGCATGGAACCCAATCCCCTCTAAAAAAATATTCACTAAGGTATCATCAATATCTAATCAGATATTATATTTTCTTAAAGCCAAGCCTAAACCAACACACTGGTACAATAAATCTTTTCCAAATACCAACTGTTACTAGGTATATTTATTTCCTCATATCTCTACACAGATAAACAAGATCCTGCTTACTATCCTTTTCATCTATGTATTCACATATCATAAAAATCATTTTCCTACAATCTTAGCTAATGATCCAATCCCTACACATATACCTATATCTACCATAACACACAAATGCATGGAACCCAATCCCCTCTAAAAAATATCGAGAACTTACATAGTATCATCAATGTAAGATCAGATCAAAGCTTTTCTTGAAGCCAAATTTAAATCAACACAGGGGCATGGTGCAAAATAAGCTCTTTTTGTAACCTTACTATTTATCAAACCATACATAACTTTTTGATCACCCACTTTGTACATAAATACCCTGAACCCTTTTCTCTCTCCGACTTTTTCATAAACCTTTCCTCTAGGTACTCATCTCACAAACCATTCAATCCTTCCTTCCTTCTTTCCTTCCTACACATATACATACTCAAAAAAAAACATCAATAATTAAATTAATTTCTCATTTTTAAATAAAACAGACACAAAAAATCACAAATACGTAGCCCAGTTTCAACTGTTTTTTTCCTTTCTTCTTCAAGAACCTTTTAAACAAAAGAAGAAAAAGAAAAGAAAACCAATCAAAACAGTCATATTTTTTTATCTTCTTCTCGTAGTAGTAGTTGTCATCAAAGATGATGATCGATCATCCAAAGATGATGATCAATCATCATCATCAATCTACAAAAACAAAAACAAAAAACAAAAAAAACTAATGGTCCAGATTTCAAAAATTCACCCAAGAAAAAATAAAATGAAAAAAGTTAAAACCAAACCAAAAAAAGAAACATCACAGGCAGACATACAAACAAATTTTTTTTTCGGTCATCTGTTTATGTGTCAAAAAAGAAAAACATCACACCCACACACACGCACACAAAATACCCAAGAACCAATTACATAAAAGATATAACCCACCATCAAAAGATAACCAAAAGAAAAAAAAGAAATTGATGATGAAAAAAAAACCCTCATGATATGATCACAACACTACTATTCTTCATCTTCTTCTTCTTCATTTTGATCTTCTTCAACTTCATGATCGTCAGCATCATCTTCATCCATCTCCTTTTTAATCATTTTTCCATTTGTTTTCTTTCCACCTTTACGTGTAAGATTCACATCATCACCCGTGTCTTTTACATGTGCCCATTCTTCTAATCGATCCCATTCGAATCCAGTAGGTGTTTCATAAGTATACGTTTCCACAGCCCAATCTCGTACCAATTCACTGACTCTAAAAAACTGATCATTCGAAAAAACATTTGGTTTGTCAGACGGGCCTAATGGATGAAATCACATAAAACAAAATGACAAACCTTTCGAGTAGAATACTTTTTGAACAAATTACCATGTTCGTTTCCTCCTTCGTATCCAACAGCACCCACGAAGTTTGGTTCAAGTCCGATACCCAAAACCTTGCAACCGGTCCGAAGGATATAATCAACCATGATCTGAGCAGTAGGAAGGATCTCATCCTGTGTGTATCCAGAATAATGAATCAAGTTTGCATCCCATTCTCCTCGGTTCAAGAGTTTCCTTGATAACCAGATCGAGGTGGCTGCTAAAAGTGAAGGTGCAGTGGCGACTAATCGGTAGTCAACAATCGAAATTTCCATAAAGTACTATACCCAACAATCAAAGCATTAGTTAAGCCTTAAGACGGTGATCAAGGAACGAGTGATACAAGGAATGACTTACTTTAGCAAATGTACGAGATTGGATATCATAGTGATCTGCCTTGGAGACCCTCCTCAAGAAGTTCAATGGGTTAGGATACCGAAGATCCCAGCTCAACATCTCTAACATATAAGTTTCAGCCTTCAAAATCTCTTCATTTTCGTATCCTCCATCAGTCATGTACAGAAAATTTGTCACACTAGGACAGATAACTTCTTCATATTTAGATGCAAGGAATAATGAAGTGACTCCAACCAGTTGGAATTTGATGAGAGCGACTGTTCGTTTAGTAAGAAATCGGTCCATCAAGTTGATGGCAAGGTAAAGAGTTTCAGGTAACAATCGGAATTTCGAGTGCACTTCGATGATCCAGTCTACCAAAACACCTCGCATCTTCCATGTCAATTCACTTTGACGGGACATGTAATCGGCATCAGGAAGGGTTTCAAGCTGTTGGGTAGGATGACAAGATACGGAAGAAGAATGAGCTGAATCCCATCCATCACCAAATCGTTTCGATCGCAGCAGATGAACAAACATACCTCAAGCTCGCACATGTAATGATAGATCTCATTAACATATTCTTTAACCATCAAGGGGTCCTCCTCATCACCTTCATCTAAATCTTCCCATCCTTGTTCTCCATCCTTCAACTTGACCTTTTCGACTTCCTTGCCCTTTGAACTCTCCATCATGATCTCATCATCAGCATCCTCAGTTCGAATGTTTTCCTTCTCAATCTCTTCCGGCTCACTCGTTCTCGGTTTCTTGGACAGTCGCCCTTCACCTTCAATCTTCACCACACCCGATCGATTCGCACTAGCGCGACGACTACTCTGCCGAGCTGGAGCGGTACTAGCCACATTCTTGGAAGCCGGTCTCGCAGTGAGAGCGACCTTCTTCTTGACAACAGTGGTTGATGTTGTTGTTGGCCGGCGAGGTTCGGGAGCAGGAGCTGTAGCATTGCGTTTCAAAGGTTTGATTTGCCGAGCACTAGTCTTGGTGACGGGTTGATTGATCGCAACATCTTCGAGTACCATTGGTTCAGCTGCTCCAGCCTTGCGTGTTAATGTAGAAGCTTTGCGAGTGACAACGGCAGCAGTAGCCTTGGTTGCTGGCTTGGTAGGTACGATGGCAGTGGTACTGATAGATTTGACGTTGTTTGTGCGATCATCTAAGATCCGTTTACGACCGTTCGTGGCAAGGGCGGTGGTTGCGGTCTTGCCGTTAGCTAGCTGAGTCTGGGGACACAGGAAAGATGATCAGAAGACAGAAAGAAACATGGAAGGAGATGGAAATCGGACATACCTTTGTACCTTGAGCAATACTCGCTGTTCGTCCACGTAAAGTACGGGTAGGTACACCGAGCTTAGACACGTTCACACCTGCGTTCTCGTCCTCCTTCTTTGGAACAGCGTTGGAAGTAACACCCAACCGAGTAGAGTGACGAGTAGGAGGCTATAAGAATCGGAGGAAAAGCAAGAGGATGAGTTACGATTCAAAGGGAAAGGAAGTCAAGATAGTGAAAGAGTGGAAGCAGATGAGAAAGCTAAAGTCGGGAGCATGACGTGACAGTCGTCGCGTGTACGATGGGAAAGTGTCATGCACCGAGCAACTGAATAAGAGAACGGTTAAGATGTGGGAAAGGACGGTCATGGACGCGTCTAGGACCAAAATTGGTCGGAAAATTTAGAGAGTTGTACCCTCCATGATACTTGGCACTTTTTACTCAAGACGACACCCAATTTGATGAGAGCCAGTCAGGTGGCTCTGGGTATGATATTATGATTGATAAGAAGTGACTGAATAGGTATAAAACCCGCGTTTTGAGGAATGAACCCAAACTTACCGCCATGCTACCTAGAGCTGAAAGAGTCAAGACAGTGAGATGGTTTGTTTTTTGAGGAGGATCGATTAGAGTTGATTAGATTGAAGAATGAGATGATCGATTGAATGAGAGATTAATGTGAGATTATAGAGACTGAAGAGGTTCGGAGGTTTGAGTTTTTGATGATGAGATCGATCAATCAAAGACCTATAGGGGAAATGAAATAAGAAAGGCATGATATTAGTGAGCTGATGAGATGAATGAGGATTAGTGATGAAAGGCTAATGAGACTGACCAAATTGAATGAGTTAATGATTGATAGTGCTGAGTTGAGTGGTAATCTTGAGAGTGGTAGTATTTGATGAGTATTTGATGATTAGTTTTGATGATAAGTGAAAAGAAGTCAAGTTAAAGAGTTTTAAGAATCAAAGCTTTAAAGAACTAGAAGATAAGAAAAGAGAACAAGATCGATTGATTTGTATGAAGTGAAGTGATGAAGATGATGATAGATTAGTTTATATAATGTCAACTCAAGAAGGTCAAGGTCATCAAGCCTATCACTCACTACAATCCAAGTACGCAAATCAAAAAAAATCAAAATTTAAAGTTCTCCTCAAAATCAAAACTAAAACTACTTAAATTTTAATCAAAACTAACTAAACTCTCAGCAGCTTACATACAGTTCAGTTTAAAACCTCAACTCAACTCATCAAATCAAAGACCTTAACACTAAGTATCTCTCTCTACTCATCTCGAACTTTCAACGCGTTTCAATCAAAACTAAACACGCGACCGTAGAAAAAAAAATCAACACTTAAGTCACATAACAAGGAAAATACAGCTTAGACGCTCAGATTAAATCCACAAAGCGCCAAAAAAGACGAAAACAACAACAAAACAAACTGCACTGTATTGTACAGTCTTCACTCCACTCTTCTGAGTCTGGAGTCTGGGCGCGCGCGTCAACTGTTGCTATGACACCCGCGCTGTCTCACCTTAAGCTCCAGCCTGTTTAGTGCTCAACCAATCAGATCGCATCAGTACTGAAACGCGTCATTAAGCTTAGCGCTATGATATAACTTAACAGTCCATACATCTCGATCATCTTCCTTCACATTTTTCGATTGATTTAACCGCCCATTAAACACTCATCCCATTTGACACCTTCCGATCAGACTTGTGCAAGCTCTCACCTGTTTGGAGGAACTGTTCTAAATTAACCACTAAATCCTCTACAACATACACATCCTTTCACCGTGCATCCAGATTCCAATCACCTTCATAACAGATCATATCAGAATCACAAAAAAGCTTCGTGTGAAGTACGTACAAACACAACTAGACTTCAAGAGTGTTGAGAGTTGCGAGCACAAGCATCATATATTTCCAAACCTCACTAGCTCAGAACTGATCAAGGTGTATGTAGAAAGTTATCAAATTTTTGGGATATTTTCAAGACATGAAATTGATCTATCTTGACTTGAAAGAACGTTAATTGGAAGACCACCTTGAGGTCTATCCCCCAGTAAATTGATTGTAAAACCTTTAGAATCTTTGTTGATATATCATCACACAATGATGATTTTTGAAAGTCATTTAGAAACACGAAACCTGAGTCACAATGACATCAAGTAAGTAAATTGAAATTGATTTCATTCTTGGTGTTTTTGATCAAGAGAATAAAAGGTGATGATTATATAGACATCTTTTAATTCCTGTAAAGAGTAGGAACTCTAGCACTCTGGGTTCATAGCCACTCCAACATTCTTTGTACATAATAACTCATCATGATCATCTTTAAATCTTACACACAAAATACATTTCACAATCTTTTACGAAGAGAAAATTTTTGCAAAAAAATCTCAACTTTTGGACGTATAGATGCACAACAAGCCTCTACATAGGTTTGTTTGACCAAACTCATAATGGTTTTAAAAAAATTGAGCTTATCAGATCAATTGACTAGTTAGTAAGCAGAAAGAAAAAGATGATATAGTTTTACAATTCTACAATCATAAATACCAGTCAATCAATACTTTAGATAAAAAAAACATGTATAACATTTAACAAATTCAAAACAAAATCTGATCCTACAACAAGAATAAAAAAGACAAGAAAAAACCCCTTCAAGTATTCTTTAGAAAATACTATTCAATTGATTTTTGGTTTTATGAATTCAAGATTGATACATCATTGATTATGTAACATTAAGAGGGAATAGAGTCATGATTTTTCAAGAAGAAAAAAAGGGAATGAGATGTTTTTAAAAACTTTGAAGATGAAGAACAGAAAAACACACGTAAAAAAACCACAAGGTGTTGCCAAAGATTGAAACACATGAGAGGAAGTAACTTTAAGCTAAGTAAGATACTGTCAAGAGATTTATGAATTGATATAAAGGGTTCAAACGTAATAAGCTGGAAGTTGATCATAAGGTTCAGAACAAACTTCTAGATCCTGATCATCATAAGATTTCGAAGAACCAAAACAACAAACCGAAAGTCTACAAATCTCATGAAGAATACCTGAAAGAGCCCAATAAGCACAAAATCCAGGAATAGCCAAAAAGAATAAAGAGATAATTGAACAAAGAAAAGTTTCGGTTAATTGAATTAAGAATCCTTCTTGATTGTTTAAAGCAGATGGAAGTAATCGATTGACTTGTAAAGCAACAAATCCTAAGAGACTGATAAAGATAGAGAAAATTAAATAGTTGGTTGAGGATACTTTTATCCAACCTTGACGAGTTGGTAAACCTCGATTCAAGATAATCACTCCACTAGCCATCTTAAACCAAGCATACCACATCAACCAATACTGGCTTTGAGAAGACCAAGGTGTGAGATTTTCATATGCTTGACATCCGTTCCTTTCACTTGTGATGGTACTTAAACTGGTTGAATTGAAGATATGAGACGAGTTACTAAAAGTGAGGCATAAGACTGAGATAAGTAAGAAATCTAGGGTGAGGATCACGCTGGCCGAAACTCGACTGGTAGGAGAACGATGATCGAAATCGGATGTGGTTTGGGAACCTAAATCCTGAGCTCTCTCCATCTTCATGGGTCCTGGAATGTAAAGAGTGAGGTGGGAAGGTTTCTTCGAGTTCATTGTGTATCGAAAGCTGAAAGTCGTGTTCACCAAAAGGTTAGCTACTTGCAGGTTGCCCAACGAAACTTACTGGAGAGAAACGCTGTCAGAGATGGAATGAACAAACTTCTATGTGGTTAACTTTGGTGACAGAAAATCAGCCGCGTGAAAATCTTTAAGGATGAAGAAATGTTCTGTGACTGAAATCATCAAAGATTACAAGAATAAAGACCGTCAGTTGAGAATGCACCATAATATGATCTCTGACGGAAATTCTAGGCAAGGTCCGCACTTTACCAATTCCCAATTACTCGACTTCAAACAAAGTGATCGGTCTACTTGACAGTCTAATACGATCTGAAACAGACGTTTATGTAGGATGGTGATGGCAATTGTACCCAACGAATATATAGAATCGGAGGAAATTTGGGTTGAATCTGTTATACTGCTACGGGTTATGTTCAAGTTAATCGATTTGAAAATCAACTCAAATGTAGCTAAGGTCTTGAGAAGGTACAAGGCTATGTTGAAGTCAATCAAGATGACTACAAACTTGATCGAAGGTGGAATAAAGTCGCCAAATTCGAGTGAAAGATGTAAAACGGAAAAATTCAGATGCCGGTTTTTTGGGAGTTTTTCGAGTGATTCTTGAAGTTCTTGTATCGATGAATAGGTTCTATTTATCCTCAACCAAGACGAGAGAAAAAAAACAAGGGATTGTAAGGTAAGTTTTTGAGCCAAGTTAAAGTTTTCGGAATTCGCTTGGTAGTCAAGGTCTGGTGTGGGAAGTGAGAAATTATTTAAAACATACTTGATCTTACTTGACGTATTTTGTAATGACTGTGATGAACAAACCAAAGAGTTGGAAAGAGATAGATAGAGAGAGACAGATGGTGGAAAGTGAATCAAAAAATCAACGTGAGAAGAATTCCTTTCGCTTGAAGTTCGATGATACCGTTCACTGCAAATATATAACCCAGTTCAATATAACCTTAATCAGGTCCTCCACCACATTGATCGGTCCTGCCTCGTGTGTATTCTGTTCGTGATTTGTCTGATGAAATGCCGTCGAAACGATGACTTCTGTTCTCCGCCGGACCAAAATAAATCAAAATGCTCGTATCGATCAGGTACAATCGAGCACGGCCTGATAATGTATATTATGGGAGGTTTTGGGCTTGATATCTGATTTTGAAGCATATGTTGGACTCGAGGCACATTTTATCCTTGACCTCAGTGGCAGTGCTTGCGGGTCAATCCAGCTTCTGCGGTGTTTCTCCACATCTCATGAAATGTATCAACAAGCCATGTCTTGGTGATGAAGATGGGGGTGAAGCGATACATCCTCACTGGTCAAAAATCTCGAGCATCTTTCTCAACTTAGCACATGTCAAAGTTCAACTAGACCCTGTGGTGTTGTATGATCTCGCAAACAATGATATGTACTAGAGAAGCATCTCTCTGCTGATCTCAAGCACTAATTTGATGTTGTATGAAAGAACACATTTGTACATTAACCAAGCAACGAGTCGTCGGATCCATTGTCTGAACAATGCTGATCCAGAAGAGACAAGGAGGATGAGCCCATACTACAGATAGACAAGCTGCCTTGCGAGTTGCAGTCTAAGATTTCTTCAATTTCACTATCTAACTCAAGGACGTTGTCGTCATGAGTGTTTTCAACTTTGATCTGCATTGGCTTTTCACTTTTACCGTCTGGTTCGTCGTTTTCTTCAAGATCAGAGAAATCAAGTTCAGGTGATCGACGGGCTTGCGGAATGATGATGATCGGTTTTTCAAGAGACTTGTGGAGGTCAAAAAGCTTTTGACTCAGTACCTCTACGAGTGGCCGTGTATCAGAAGTCTATGCGTTGGAATATAAGTATCCCTCAGCTTCCGTGTGAATACCGTTGCGTTCAATCAGATAGAGAATCAAAAGGTTGACCTCTCTGAGATCGTGCAATCTAGCCAGCAAGGTTGGGTTTCGACTGCGACTGGCCAATTGATGTAGTGAGTTGGAAATCGAGTCTTGAATTGGCCAACCCTTTACAATTTTCTTCAAATTCAGTAAGAAATGTAGTCAAACGGGATCAGGACGATGAACCTCTCTAGCGTGAACAGGGAGGATGTACTTCTCTCCATATCCGATTAAAAACAAATGGCCAGTGTTTCAAAAATCCCCGTGCTAGCATTTGCTCAGTAACTCTTTGCAGAGAGACCGCTAACGGTCTTCCTAGCGGAGAAGTGGCCAAGTGGGTCTCAAGGTTTGAGAGGCTCGATCCCGAAAAAGTTATCAAAATCTGTGCACGTTTGAGATATGCGATGGGTTTTCCTGATGCAAACCGACGCCTGGTTGGTTCGTCCAACGGTGAAATTTGTAATCCGACTGATCATCAAGAGAGTTAGAAATAAAGATTCAACGTCGAGCTCAGGAGCGGCTAACCACTCGAATAATCTTTGCTGCCCGGTTTGCACACCTGCTCTTCTACCTTTTCAAAGCACGCGCGCCCGTCTCGGCCATACTGAATGACAAAGGACGCACAAAACATAAGCAGAATTATCACTCAAGTAGGAATATTGCATAGATCTATACCTTGCTCAAAACGCTGATGAGGACTGTCATCAGAGGGGTCACCAGACCTTCGTAGGGCTTAAGCAAAACGCGGGCGTGTTTGATTTGAACCCCGAGCTGTACCATATGATCAGGTGCAGGAAGGACCTCGCATTCTTCTATTGGTACATTGAGTGGTAAAGTAGCCTCCACCATGACGCTGAGGTTGAGATGATGAGGATATGGCACTTGACTTGATTGTGAATCACTCGTGACGGCAGCGGCTTGAATCGGTGCCTTATAGATGGTGGTTTTGAGGACGGTGTAAAGGACTTCATTAGAGTCTGATAGTTCGGTCATGACTCTTTTGAGAAGGTGGGTTGAGCTGAGTCTATGCGTCGACTCAAACGACTTTCGCCAGCAGAGCTTACCGCACATCTCCAACCGGGCTTCGGATCATTGCCCATTACTGTAACAATTATGGGACCAGTCAATCGACTGGAGTCACGATGCCCAGTCCTTTATAGCTGGAAATAAAATGTTGGAGAGATGTATCAAAGTATCAAGAGACTAAATAGTTTTTAACGCAAAATCGGGGTATGATGCGTAACGCAAGAATCGGACTGGACCCCAAAGCGGAACTTCAGTATTGCTGCACTGCAGTCATTGTGCTACCAAACTATTTTGCTTGATGAGGGAATGACTCTGTGCGAAGGGATGTTCGAGCTGAGATTAGTGATCAAATATGACAAACGTCGGCTGATCACAACGCCTCCATGCCCACCATGACGGCCCTGCGAAATGTAAGAGATGGTGACCGATAGGCTCAGCCCTCTCAGCCTAGGTTGTGTCTTTGTAAAGGCTTCTGGAAACATCAAGTTTCATCAGTCCCTCCTCAGGCAGTAGCAGAACCTGTGATGTCTGGTGTACTCGGGGAGGTATCAAGGTTCAAAGGTGTCTTTCAATTCCTAAAAATCACATGTAACCACCTGTTGCACAACTCGCTGAGGCCGTCAGAACCACTTGCGAGAGTCACTTTCCTTATTGGGTAAGTTGTAGGTGGCTCAAAATCCACTGTTGCGATTTCTTACGAGCTTGTACATAGATCCTATGAAGACCGTTAACCGGATTTCAGAGGATTGATGGATGGCTCAGGTGACCAAACTTGCCTGATAATTGATGTTCAATCGAAAAGAACTTGTAGTAACTGAGCCTCCAAAGTCTTATAAGTAAGCAAACTTTGCCATGCACCAATCAAGAGCCCACAACAAAAACAAATCATACAATCTCTTGATCAGCAAGCCTGGAGCTAGCGCAATATCGACAACTCCAAAACCCCTCAACATACCATAAATTTAACTTCTGACTTTTACGCGCAATCTTTATCTTCTACATATTTCAAGAAAACAAGTGCAGGACACGACCCTCTTTTTCTACTCAAAATTTCTCAACAGTGAGTGTCTGTAAGCAATGTGACTTCCGAAATATTTTTTTTCACTGACGTACTGATTTGACACACGATTCACTGTTTTAGGCAAGCAATGGATGTACAGTCACGCTCAACACAATTCCATGGTGACGTACAGCCAATCCGTCCGATGTTTGGATATCCAGAGTCACACCTAGATTTGTGGAATGCCGATGAGATTTGGTTATACAAGATGGAAGTTGAATTTTGTAAAACTGACGAATATCTTTTCCTAGGACTGATTTCTACATCATCTCAACTTTTGAAGGAAGATAAAGTTCAAAGACATCTTCACAATGAAGGTTTTTCATTTGAAATCACAGCAGGGGAAAAACTTGACCTTTCGCATGAGGAGCAGGGGAAATCATCAAGCGTGAAAGCTCTACAGAATTTTTGTCAACTTTCGATGGGGAATGATGCATTGATTGATGCATCCAGACCCGATGCGTTCATTGTTCCCCTTTTTAGACAAAAAATCGACTGGAATGATATGATTGACCTAAGCAAGGCGGTTGAAGCGTTCAAACATAGAAAGGACCTCGAAACTCCCGAACCACTTTGTACGACTCCTGGGACCTATCACTCGAAATCACCGGCACCTCGCCTCGCCGATGGTAACTTCTGGGTAGCCAACTCTAGTTATCTCAATTCCAGGATGAATCTCAATCATGGGTCGGACGCACAAACTGAGGTTACCGGATTTTGGAGGATTGCGACTTCAATCAATACGATTCTCCACCTAATTCGAGCGCGAGAATCTGATAATATTCCAATGGTATCGCAATGCACAGAAGATTACCTGTCCGGTGTGTTGAAAAAACTAATTCTTTGGCGAAATGGACCTGGTAATAGAAATATCGAGCAAGTGGGAAGAGCATTCATGAAGATGGCAATTTCGATGCAAATTTTTCTTCAATATCCCAAAGCAAAAGTGAGAAAACTTGAGAGGTCCCTTTCGAAAATAATTCAATCCACAAATATAGAACAACTTGCTGTGATTCTTGAACGTGTATGTACACTAGAAACACCCAAGGAATTTAAAGGCATTCCATATATCTTGGGAGCCTGTTATCTTTCAGGAAAGATGGCACCTACTTTGACATTAGCCAGAAGGTTGGGTCTTGGCTCTATCAACGAAATCACCAATGTAGATTGGCTCGCATATTGTTCAAACTTACATCTCGAGGAACAGCCTGACGCGCAGAAAGCCTCAGACTTGAATGCTTTAGAAACTAGCTTGAAATATCGGTTTCATAACAAGACTTTGTTACAAAAGGTACTCTGGCCGGACCCAGCGGAACGCACATTTCGAAAATTAGAATGGATTGGGGATTGTCTCCTGGGATTGTGGTCTGCTGAAAGACTCGCAGAAATGGGTACCGAAACACAAAAGAAGAAAGGTCTAGGATTGGCTTTTATAGAGTTGAATTGTAATACTACTTTGGCTGCATGGGCAGATAGATGGCTTCACCCTCACAAACAACTTGTGAAGCCAAAGATAGGTACCGGCGACAAAGTATGCAAAGCTTCTGCTAACATGGTAGAGTGCTTGGTTTTTGTCTTGTTTATTGACTGTGGATCTGTTTTTGGTCCAGAGTCCACATTCTACCAGGTACTAGACAGATGGTTCTATAATGACAAAGAAAGAAACACAGTTTCTCAGGAACACTTCACAAATGTTTCCGACGCTTAGGTCTCATTCGCATTTATTTTCATGTCTTGATTTTGGTTGTATCTTAATGTTTTAATGACTGCTACCGACGCATATCAGATGATGTTGATGTCTTTTGTTGTTGTATCTTTTCCCATTGACAATTTCTCTGATGGTCGTTACAAATGCATACTCGCCTTTGATATTTATTGATCTAGAGCAATTGCCTTCAAGCTGTAGACTTTTCTTTTTTTCGCATGTACAAGCCCATTTTTGGATCAAGAGAGCATAGCTTGGCTGACAATTAGAGATGTGAACTCATAATGTTGAGCACAGCCAAAAATCAAAGCAACTTTTAACATCTCGTGGACGGACGTTATAGATCGACTATATTGTACAACAGGTTCACCAGGAAAGCGTCTCGTAGAGCCAAATGATTGATTTCTGAATTCAATTGAGAGATGGATACAAAATTTTGTGTGGGCGTGCCAACCTAATTTTCTTGCTGTTGAATACAATTGTTTTCCACCCTTTTTGTTTCCTTATAAGAATCCAAATTTCTATCTGATTTGTGGTGCACATGCAAATTATAGATTTCAAAACTACAGAGCTGAAGAAGTTCTCAGTGTAATTGAAACCAATCAAGGTGCCCAACTCCACAACTAGTTACTTAGATTGCGAGTTGCTGAACCCAAGAGGGTGAATCTCTGAGGTTTGCATTATAATTCGGACTTCAATATCATTTCGGAGACGAAGAAAGCAATCAGTCAGGTTCGCATGAGCAATGTGATTTCAAGTAAATTCGTATTTTCCAGGGCAAGAAAATTTCTCTTCAAAGCAAAACTGGCATGTATCACGTGGTATAGATTTTGTCGCTTGTTTCTGTACTGCAATGAAGACACACATCTTGCATAAGAACTGAGAAGCCAATGGCATCAAAGATAATCTATACGAAAATCTCTTACAATGTATAATTACAGGAGTTTTAACTCCATAGTCGTGGATAGATCGATTGAGAGTTCCTACGACGAGATTCGGCAAACAACTTCCACCGCCTCGTTTCCTATCACCTTCAATGCTTCCCTTCCTTCCCAATATGATTTTCCATCCAAACTTCGTACTACACAGATTTCTCCTAACCTTAAACCCTTACTACCTTTTCCGACGATGAAATCCTTCAATTCGTCCTTTGACATATAGACTCTCAAACTAGGTTTACTGACTGCCGAAGCCGATCGAAGTACGGCTTGTTCATCACGAAACTTATGTTCTACCCAAAGCCTTCGATCGCTCAATGGTACCTTGATAAACGAACTCGGATCAGGTCCATCCGTCGTCCCGCGTGATACTGCTGAAACGAAGCCTTCGTTTAATAGCACATTGAGAATTGATGAATGAAGGATGTTCGAAGGGATAGGAACATGTCGGAGACGACGTCGTGATGTATTTTGAAGCTGACTGCAAAGATTATGAGCGAGGTTGGGCAAGCGTGTGGCCATTTGATAGGGAAGGAAGGTGAAATCTTGAAACTTGACAATGTTTGTACTTGCAAGATACTTGAGGATATCAAGTCGGCGATTTCATGGAGGATTGAAATTTGAGACTGAGGTCATATATAAGCATACTCACCGCATTCATTCCACAATCAAGGGACCTGTCTAGACCCATGACCAAAACTTACTCACATGATCTACACAGCTTACAGTTTGCTGGAATTGGCCTTCAAAAGGGCTGACGGGAACCTCAAGATGTTTCACACGCAATGTCCAAGGAGCCACACTCGTTAGGCATGGTCGAAGTAAGTCACAAGCTGTTGTGTTCCCGGTCCGCAGAGGGAATTCGGTGTGCGTACTGGTAGTGCCTTCGTGGCCACCTCAAGAGAAACAGATAGTCTTCATGATACATCCATATCACACCTCTTCTTGAATGTATCATTGGTTTCTTGTTGGATGTTCCTGAGCATTCGCAAAACCATCCTCTTACATACGAAAATTTGTTCAGGGAAGACCAGAAACTCAACAACATTCTGTTCAAGTTCACAAGACAGGCATACACAAGGGCCGCTCACTCATGTGGCCATAAACGTTAAGAAGACTCCGGTGAGTTTGAATTTTGTCACGGTCTTACAAACCACAACAAATTAAAAGGTGAGGCTTCTTGGGTCACTCATAAACCAAGATATATGCCATGTAGGTTTTCATGAACACCAGAATAGGTCCAATGCATTTCTTAAGGTCCTAAGGTTTGTAAACTTCCGAGGTTTCAATTTTCATCATGGAGAATGCAAAACAAATGGATTTGGTGAAAGTCTGTCTGAAGGAAATCTCGAGAATAATTTTAATGATTGAGTGGCAAATTTAGAGTAAAGAAATTGGTTAATAAGTAGCAAATAGTCAAAATCAAAAATAGTGAGAGGGTTCAACTGGTCAATCAGACACATATAAGGAGCCTCATTTGGTTATACACTGTCATGGGATTCTTGCATGAGAGCTTTCTTCATGCTTTACAAATATCAGTTGTGCGAAAGATCTCGTAACATCCTTGAAAAGTGGGATTGAACAGGGCCTGACTAAGTTAGAAGGTGATTGGTAGTATGAGATCAAGCGCCGTGAGGAAGAATCCAGTCCTAGTAATCATATCATTTGACTCATCATTAAGATTGTGAAGCGAGTCATATCCATTAAATGAATCTCGGCTTTTTCCACCTGGAGAACCGAGCCCTATCTATCTGTGGAGCTTGGATATTTCCGTGGGGAAGTGGATGGATGGACGCCGGTGTTAGATATACAAGCCATATCATTTATGATCTCACTACGAAGATCAATTTTATGGTCTTGCAAATACAAAATAAGTCGAAAAAGTCAAGCTGAATTGATTTGAGGGCATGTGGTATCACATGATAGGGATGGGATCCCTCTGAGTCTTGTGTGCGTGAGGGCCGGGATAGCAAGATGAGAGGTGGCGGATTTACCTCTGAAGACCACTTGGTCAAGTCTTGTCTCCGTGAGGGATAGCGAGATGACAGGTGGCAGATTGACCATTGAAGATCACTGGGCCTTAGACCCCAATTGTTTTGAGAACAATGAAGTGGATGGATGTGGACCGTTGTAAGACATAAAAGGCATATGATTACACTATGAGGATTGACTGTATAGTCTCGCGACTCCAAGTGCAGTGAGCAAGCTCTGAGGGCATGTGGTAATGTATTGGATTAGAGGTATGAGGTTCCCTCTAAATGTTGTGTTCGTGATGCTAGATTTCAAATGTTAGTTTGACCACTGAAGATCAATTTATCTTGAATCCTTAGTATATGTCAGTGAAGAAAAACAAGTAGTTGTTTTGGGGGATAGCAAACACACAAAGACATGTCAATAACTACCAGTTTTCTCATTCAGTATTCCAAACTACAAGCACAAGCACAATGACCATTTTTCTCAAGTTACAATCATATCAAAAGATACTAAAAACAAGCGGAACACACATCAAGAAGCACGTAACAGAACAAGCCAGAGAAGTTGTAAATAAGAATGAAAAAATCCATCCAGCGGATAAAAATGAGGATGTAAAAAAATAGATCGAGGTATCTGAATCAAAATGTATTGAATCCAAACACAATTCCTTCATTCAACAAGTGTATATATGGAGCATGATTGATGATAAAAAAATAGATTGAGCATATCGGTATCAGAATGTATTGAATGTGAGCACAATTCCTTTGTTAAAATAGTATAGCTATAGAGTATCATTGATAATAAAAGAATAGAAATAGATCATTGAGCAAAAAGAGATTGAGACAACGGATTCTAAGTATTTAGATCGCAGATAAGAATCCCAGATCGTAATGAACTTTGTGTCTCAAAGGTTTTTAGAATCATATAAAAATCATCAAGCTCTAGAATAATCAAAAACACATCCACAAGGCCCGTGTAAAGGCCTAAGTTGAAGGTCCTGCTACGTTGATAAGCCTAGAGGACATTTCAAAAAAAATTATAAAGAGTCAAGATGAAATCTAAATTTTGACTTGATGGTTCATAAAGTCGAGCTTACATTTGAAAAGTAGACAAGTTCTTTGGTTTCTTTTTGCAAGTCTTTCCATGTCATTTCGCGTTATAGAAAGATTTGAGAGTTTTTTTGCACTCGGTCCATGGACATTTGTCTAGAGTCGAAGAACGCATCGGATTTGAAGGTGAAAGAAATCAGTTGATTGAATTTCAAAGGAGAATAATAAATTTGGGTGACTTACAACTCTTGCCTTGAGCATCAAGGACTTTTATATCTTTGTGAGTGTGATTGAGGTGCCTCTCCAAGTTAAACTTGCCACAAAACCACCTTCCACAGCCCGGTTCAGGGCACAACCCGAGTGCCTCAAGTTTCTTTGTTCTCTTGGGTTTGGAGAGCGCAGTGGGCTGTTTTCAAGGTTCCTTTTGGGTTTGGTGGACCAAAGTGGATTTGCCTTTGGAGCTTCCGGAAGTACCTACAATTGGGTTTAGAAAAGTAAGACTCGAGCTGAGGTAAGGATGTGAAAATATAAGTTACATACATGGTCCCTCGCCGATTTGTAAGGGTTCAGATGGAGCGTAGCCTAAGAATGAAGCTACACCAGGTCCTCCCAAAAGGGCAGGATCTTTGAAAGAGAATTGTATCAGAATGAGAAATGAGTGTTCAAGTGGAAGAATCTACATACCAATGTTTGAGTCGATGAAGAAAGGTTGAGTGGAAGAGACGTTCAAGGTCAAAGATTCGCGGTGAGCGGTTTGATCGATTTGTGGGACTTTGATATCTGCGTTTTCATCAAGCTCTACACCGGGGCCATATGGGTGAGATTGAATACAACAAGACATTATCAAGGATGGCGAAGGGGATATTGTAAGATATGAGGAAGTAGTATTCGGGAAGGGTTCAATCAAGTTTGAAGTAAATTGGAACGTAATGGTCTGTTTGGTTGGGAAACAGAAAAGAAAGTCCTGGAAAGGTGTCTAATTGCAGATTTTGAAGAAGGGGTTGGGGTTATGGTGTTGTTAACTCCAACCTCGCTTGTTCTTCCATAAGCTAGTAACACCGACTTTATTCCCTAAACTATCTGAAGTTCATTCCGTAGCTGAACAATATTTGGAAGATCTTCTCAAGGATACTTTCCCTTACACATTTCTTGGATTTGCAACGGCGAGTATTGACTGATTAAATACTTATTGAAGACACAGTGGGGAGGTAAAATGACATACTGGCCGCGGGCCGATCAAGCTTTACACTTGTTCAGAGTGATGTTACGAAGAGTCAATGTCGTGCATTTCTTATATTGTACAAAACAGACTGATCATCTGGCGACAACAGAACATTTTTGCATGGTACAGATTGAGAATGATATGTCGACTGAACATTTGACTGAACATTTGTTAAGGTGTTCATCCTTTAAAAAAACAGTCTTCAAGCTTACGCTCTGAGACCATCAATTTGTGAACAAATCAGATTGTCACAATATATTATTTTGCTCCAGCCTGGTGCTATTCAAAGGTTTTGTTTGCAATATCTTCTTTATCCCAAAAAAAATCGAATGCTTGGGTTTCCAGTTTGGCAATTACGAAACTCCATGAGAGGTGAAGGGGAGCAATGGCCACCGGCTGATCAAGGTTTACATCTTTCAATGATGATCGTTGTAGAAAAGGAGCAGTATGCATTTCTCAAATCAAGGAATCAAGGCTAGATAGTATTATAGCTGATCATTTTTTCTCCTAAATGTTTCGAGACTAGTGATGTGTTCAAAAATGGGAACATTATGACAATTCTTTGAGCCTGAAGTATCCCCTAATGATTGTTTTCTACAAGCTTGCTGTTGACCTACACTATCTGTCTTGCAAGATAGGCGGTCTACCAAAGACCTCATTGAACTAATTTTCAGCGTGAACACTTTACTCGCGTGATTCTTTAAATGAACCAAGCTGGTGTTTCTTATGTATACACTCGTGTAAATGTGCTCAAATGACTTTCTGATATGTATACACAGGTCTTTTAAGGCTAGATAGTATTATGGCTGAACATTAATTAAAATCCTTTTATCAAGAAAGAGCATTTACTTAAATGCTTTGAGACTAGTGATATGTTCAAAGATGCGAACATTGTGATGATTTCGTGAGCCTGACGTATCCACTCATGATTGCTTGCTATGAGCTTGCTGTCGACCTGCACCATCTGTCTTGCAAGATAGGCAGTCTACCAAAGACCTCATTGACCTAATTTTTCAGCGTGAACACTTTACTCGCGTGATTATCTAAATGACCAAAGCTGGTGTTTCTTATGTATACACTCGTGTAAATGGGTTCAAATGACTTTCTGATATACACAGGTCTTTGTCGTCGTAACTTTTTTGAAAGGCACCCCTGAGGATCTGAACGTCTTAGAGCGCATGTACCCCACAACTCGGTTTCAACTCAATAAATCACAAAGCGGAAATTCGGCGATTGTCAACACGTATTTGTTGCTTATATCACTTGAGAGCTCTGTGGAGTCTGAAAAGATGACAATCGAGTTTTACATGCCATCACATTGCCCTCCTCTTAACTGGTGTCTAAATCACTTATACTGGAAGGTTGAAAACCGGCGACTCTCAAGATTGGAGAGCATCACTTCCTGCTCACCTAACACTGACGGCAATAATGGGAGTGACGTGATCCTCTTCAATTCTATTTGCTCGCCGGTTGCTTGGAGCCCAGGTACATAGCATCGGAAGCAGGGCTTTTATAGTTGAATAGTTTCATGAATGGTACGCAAACATTCCTGAATACTGTCTTATAAAATGTTTCATAGTTGTGTAAAACTCATGGAATGGGGAAAGTTTTTTTGACAACGTAACCGTATATACATTTCATTGACCTAAAAGCTGCTTTGCAATCACGTATACTCGACGATCTAGGTAAATATTTATCCTGGTAAAAAAAATCTAACACTATCCACGATGTGGAATATTTGTTCAACTTATCCATAGAGAGGTCTTCGAGGATGCTGTTGCACTGATCCCCAAAGCGATGCGACATTTTATCGGATCTCCTATTTCCTAAAAAACTTCAGGTTCACCTGAGCTCAATGTAGGCCCAAGCGCTCCAATAAAGCGCTAGCCTTGCCTTGATTGTAAACATTGTTCCAAGCCCATTGCCCGGTGCAGCTGAAATCTAGAGCTTACACTTTTTGGGTCAAATTTTCACCGCTTGGATTTACCGATCGCCACGGGTTCTGGGCCGGCTAGACAGAGGCACGATGACGGAACCTTTCGCGTCATGTTTGGCCCATTGGAGTTTCTTTTGCTGGTTTAGAGAAAGTCTTACGTTGACTTACAACACTTGACAGCTATCTTATATCGTTTTGCCACACTTGATGGACTCTGATACAACAGATGCCGAGCAACAACCAGGGAACCGCTGGTTTGTGTGCAATTTCGCGACCAATTCTTCCTCAAAAATCATCAAAGGTGATTGATCATGAGGGAAGCATTCAAGAGACGTGTTGATGCAAGTAGAGCTAGGTGATCACAGTCTAACTATTTCACCGCAGATTCCGAAGGAACTGACGACTGACACTTGAGATCAAGCATGGCTCGATATCTACATGTGAATATTTCTGGGTATCGTAGCAGGTGTGTAATTGATTGTCTCCGACAATTTTGAAGCCATCTGGCTGGTAGGACGATCACAACTCGCGAAGTGTGGTTCAAATCAATGTGTACATCGATCATTCAGCCTGCGCTGAGCTACTGTGCGTGTGTTTGAATCGAGTTGGTTGTCCAATATCATCGGGCGAACAAACATCTTAAATGACCGTTGACTATATCCAGTTGTTTTCTTGTTCGTTGGGCTAGATCTCAGCACAGAGATGATTGGAAGAATAAGAACAAAGAATACAAAGGAATCAGGCGAGTTGGATCCGGAAAACTTGCTCAAGCTTGCCCATCACTCATCAGTCCAATTCATTTATGTAGCATGAAACAAGGTCTGCGGGCTTTTCGGCATGTGAAAAGTTAAACCTGTTACATCAACTCTCTAAATTCTAATGGCGTAAGGCTGATGCATTTTAGAGGAATATGCCTTTGAAAATCTTGTTTGGGCTGGAAATACCCATTTTGGCGGCACAAAACTGCATTACAGTCAAACCTGTTGTATGGCATACCTGTATATTGGCTTAACCTGCCAAATTGCATACCTTTTGGCCTGGACAAGCATGGTCAGGGCCAAATTATGCCTTCTCTGTCTAATGCCTTATGGCATACTTTTTTATGGACATTAGTATGGTATTAAGGCATAAAATACCCCACAAAGTGTACATAGTGTGTAAATACATATGTTATGTGTACTTTATTTGATCCATCTTTTGTGCCCTTGATCCCATTCCCATTCAAGTATCATGAAATGGAGCAATTAGGCACACTTAAAAGCTGTGCTATCAGAAAAAACCTGTCTTATGACATGAAGATATGTGATTATGGAGATAATTTGAAAGGCATACAATTATGCCATATGGCGGTACTCTGCCATATGACATAACCTGCTATAAGGCATGCCACATTGGTTGGACCAAGGGGTATGACTTAAGACAGGTTTGACTGTATATCCTATGAATTTAGAGGGATCATGCTCCTAAGAGCATCTCCAACGGTGCCTTGTAAACGTAACGATACGTAAGCTGTATGTTACGTTTACAGGGTTGGGTCAAAAAACGACCCTCCACCGGTCGGCAGATTTCTCACCTCTGGCCACTCGTGTGAAGTTTGGTTTGAGGGATACTGGGTATCGCATGTCAAGACCTTCATGCATGAAGGGCTTCCGCAAAAGATGCAGGAAGCAGTATTGGCGACGTTTAGGACATAATCATACCACATGCGTCCAAAGATAAATATGATAATCAAAAGAAATTACATATCAAGTATATAGTCAATGAGATATCAGTCAACTTTTAAAAGGATTATTGTGCGCTTTCGGCGTTTTTGGCAGGAGCACGACCTTGGAAGTCCCTCCATCATGTGCGCGGTGGAGGGAAATCATTTTAAAGAAAAAATACAGCTTACTGTATGTTTTCAGACGAGCCTGTACGCCTTTTGGCGATTCAGGACCGTTGGAGATGCTCTAAGAGCATCAGCACCGGGCCTTGTAAAATAGGGCCCGATTCGTTCGCTGTATGACACCAAGTTGACAGACAAGAACGTGTATGCCTATTCTCGCAGAACATTGTAAAGTTTTGGCGAAACCGAGGCTTTGCAAAAGCTGGAAAGTCCAAATAATACATTGCCCAAGCGGGCTTGAGGTGCTTGTTTTGTTTGACGGTAGGACTTTGTACGTCCGATATTGGTGGGTTAAGTTCAGACGTTTGGTCCTTTGGGGCAATTCTAGGATTATACGCTGCAGTCCATTATTACAAGTTCAAGGTATGATTATACGCGTCGTGTAAACCATACAGGCCGTTTGCAAGGTCCGGTGCCTCAGTTTTATTCTCACGGCTTTGTAAAACGGCCTGTATTTAAATTTTTACAAGGCCCGGTGCTGATGCTCTAAGAGGTATGCCTTTATGGCGAGTTGACTGTAGAACGCATTGGGGCTATACAGTTCACAAGCCATGCGGATTGCATATCCCTTGAGTGCTGAGGGAGGCTGAGAGCGGACGAGGCTCTTCTTCATGTTCACACTCGTCATAACCTTAGAACGCACCCCTTGAACCCTCCGAGTGTTCACATCAAATCGCTCAACTCCGGAGCCACACTCATTCGCCAGGAGGCAACGCAACTTGCCAACGCGTTGGCTCCTGTTGGCTCCCAGTCGGCATAGGCAACTCAGTGGATGTTTATATATGCAGATTTTCCAATGACTCAAGATACTTCAATGTATGTATCTAAGATGAGTATGTGAGCCATCAACTACAATCCAACATCTGATCTGAGATCAGTTAAGTGATCATATCACACACTGGCAGCCAAATTTTTTTTTGGTCAACTTGAGGTTTGAATACCAACTCATGAAGCTTTTATCCGAAGTGATTTACATGAGACTTGACTAAAAACCCAACTCAACTCAATCAAATCCATTCATTCATTCATTCACTCATTCCCTCCCTTTTTGTTCTCTTTTCACCCAATCACAAAAAAATAAATAAATTGACTCATCCCATATACTACCCTCTTTTCCCAACTATCTACATTACAAAAAAAACAGGAATCCACCCTTGATTCCAAAAAAAAAGAAAAATCCCCAAACCTCACCATGAACATATTACATCGTTTTTTTGAAAAAACAAAATCAGTATGTATGCTTATTTAATTATGCGTATATGTTTTTTTATTTTCAAACAGCCGAAAATGATTGTGCAGTAGATTTGTCAATACATCTATTATAATCATAAACCCCCCCCGCCAACCCCCCAAAAAAAAGAAAAAATCTAATCAGTAACAACAAAAAACGAAGAATATAAAAGAAAAATCAGAACTAACGTTCGTAATGAATAATCATCCCCATGTTGAGTAATATATCTAAATTTTCATATATATATTATAAAAGAAATAGATATACATCAGATCAAAAAAAGATTTGTTTTCAAGAAAACATTTTCCTTGAAATAAACTTACCTAACCCAAGGAAGAGCTTGATAACCAGATTTTTCAACAATTTTTAAATATCTAACTTGAATACCAGAAACCGTAAAATAAGGAATTTCAAATTTGATTGTAATAGGTGCTCTTTTTTCAATCGCATCATCTACTTCCCCCCCCAAAAAAAACCCAGCGCCGATCAGAACAAATCACAATTTTGAATTCCAAATCGTCTTTTACTCAGAAATCAATCAACAAAACCGAAAGAAAAAAGAAAAACTGACCACTTCTAACTGATGGTAAACCGAATTGAGCTCTCATCAAATATTCTCTCCCACCACCCAACTGTTTGATTTTCCAAACAAAAGCCGATTTTTCCGGAACATAATGAACTGTGCCTACCGAAGCTCTGAATCTAGGTGAATCAGCATCATCAGGCACCGGAACATAAATCTCTACATTATTAGCTGTTGATCTTCTTTTGAATTGAGCTTTGGCTTTGACTACATATTCGACTCTACTATTGGAATGAACTTCTACCATGGCTTCTGCCCAGATTAAAGGTTTTACTTGGGTATTGATTCGGTATGACATTAATTCGAATTCTCCATCTGGTGGAATAAATGAAATCGTTCGATCATTTTCAAATCTTGATAATCTTACACACTATGAAGATAATTCATCATCAAAAATGGTTTGAGAATTGATTAGTAAAGATTTCTATAATCGATTTCTTAACGTTTACAATAAAAAAGGCTTACTTGATGAAACTTTGTGTCTTCCATTTCGATAGCTTTTCCCCTCGAAGCTAAAAATTCATCCAAACAGAAACAAAAAAAACTCATGTTAATAAATAACTTGATCTATATTCTTTTTTTTTCTTTGCAAGAAAGAGTTGATTTTAAATGAAATGATCATACTTCGACCTGTACTTTCAAACATTACTTTATCATTCAAACCTAATCTTAATTCAGGCATTCCACTTAAATAACATTTCATTTTAACTGCACCCAAGATTTCACTTCTAACTACATTTCCATTAGCATTTACCAACAAATTAACACTTTCAACCACATCCTAATCCCAGCCAACCAAAAAAACCACATTCAAATTAGATTACTTCAAATGTGATATTAGAGAAAGGTGATTTTGAAAAACGTACTAAAAAGACTTCATTTTTCCTGTATCTTATACCTTCAGATCTCCAACTAACTGCATTGGTCACTGCCATGGGTGGTCTGACTTGGATTTCAAGTTTATGTGATTCTTGTGTAATATATTCTTGTAAGATCTTCGATTCAGTTGTTTGTGGATAACCATAATCCATCATCTCATCTAAAAGTTCATAAATAATCACAAACTATTTCCAAAAAGAAAAAATTGAATCTTTAGAGTTGGTTTTGAAGTTTCTAGGTTTGGATTGGTTTGGAGTCAGTGAAAGATTTACGTTATCTCGAATGGATTCTTCTTCTAATTCTTTAAAGTATTCGGAAAGAACCTAAAGATTTTGTTTGGTTTACAAGATGATATGAAAAGAAAAATCAATTGATCAACTTTTAGTCTTAAATTGTAAATGAGGTGTGAGTTTTTTTTGGGGGGGTTGGAATTGATTAAAGATAAGTCATCATAAATACCTGAGCTAATTTATGTAAAAAAGTTAAAATCTCAGCCGCATTTGAATTTCGTTTTGATAAAGCAATCACTAAGTTTTTTAAAAAAATTGACATGAAGAAAAACACTTTAGTGACCGAGTTTCAAATCATCAGTCAGTCATACTGAAATTTCTTTTTCAACATACGATATAAATTGTTATGTCGAATATACCTAGAATAAGAAGAAAAGAAACCATCATCAATTTTTCTAAATTCTCCAAAACCAACGTAGAGAATGATGAACACTAACATATAATTAATACCTGCAACAGTAAAACAAGGAGTCACAGATGATAAATCGTTTTCTTCCATCTCAAGTAAAGAAGGCATAAATTTTTCAATCGTAGATGGTAATACATCATCCCTATAATTTCTTTGAATTAAACTCTGTTTGTTTGTTTTTTGGAGGAGGGGGGCGGTACGGACGGAAATCATCAAGGATTAATGAATGATTAGGTTTATTTATTTGAAAAGAAATGAGGGTTTGGGAAATCACTTACTTTTCCTTTCAAGTCACAGATTGCGACTAAGGATGCCATTTTGAATGAGGTTTGAGTCAGAGTATGATGTTTGATTTTCAGATCGCTTGGCTGTAGGTTGGTAGCTTTATGGTTTTTGGTTTGTTTCTTTGATAGTTGATGGTGGATAGTTGGTAGTTGAAGGTGGATGGTGGAAGGTGGATTGGTTGGTGAGTTGATTGTGATCGAATGTGAATTGAGAATACATTACTAGGACGTCATTGTGATAGAACTACATTATTGAAACCTCTGTTTATAAAGTACATTTTCAGAATAGGTATTAAATTTACACGATTTTCTTAGTTTTGCACTGAACGATGATCAACCAGATCACGTCACTTCCAACAACCTCCAACGCACACCAACACCAACACCAACACCTTCCCCCTAACTAAATCAAGAATCATCAATCAAGATGCATAACCCTCGATCTCAAGCTACAACAGCACTCAAAAGATTAATGACAGAAGTTAGTTTACATTTCTTCACTGATTTCTTAAACAATCAATTCTCAACAAAACCCTGAAATTTCTGAACACCTTTACAAAAACAGTATCGACAATTAAATAATAAATCATCAAAACAATCAACATCTGAAGAAGAAGTTATGTTTGTGGCAGGTAAACTTTTTTTTCTCTATCATAACCTTTTTTTTGCAATCTTCAAAATCGGTTCAACTGATGTAAACTTTTTTTATAATTTCTTCTTTTTTTTGGGTTTCTCTTTTAGGTCCTATATCAGAATCAGATTTTTTTATATGGGAAGCTTTAATTTCAGGTCCAGAAGATACACCATACGAAGGAGGTATCTTTACAGCAACCTTAACCTTTCCTCGAGATTATCCACTCTCACCACCTAAAGTAAACTTAATTCTTTTTTTCTCTTTCTCAATCTAAACTTTTACACCAAAAACCTAATCTAATAAAATCTCTTGTTCTGGTGGTTAATTTTTTTCTCAGATGACATTCAAACCACCTTTATTACATCCAAATGTTTATACGAATGGTGAAGTTTGTATTTCGATTTTACATCCACCTGGTGATGATCCAAATCAATATGAATCGGCATCTGAACGTTGGTCACCTGTACAATCAGTTGAAAAAATCTTATTAAGTGTCATCAGTATGTTAGCTGAACCTAATATCGAAAGTGGTGCGAATATTGAATGTTGTGTAAGTGTTTTGATTTCTTTATTCTTACATTCGAGTTTTGGTTTGAAAAGAAATTGATCTTTGGGTTTCTTTTTTTTGTTTTTTTGGCTATACCTCTTTTTTCTTCGGTATCGGGATATGGTTATGGATTGATTGGTATTTTTTGGGGTATAGAAATTGTTTAGAGAAGATAAAAAACAGTATGAGAATAGTGTAAGACAATTTGTTAGACAACAACTTGAGATTTGATATAGATCCGTCTAGATATGAAACCATCAACTTAACTGGGTTGTCTTTTTTTTTATCTTGAGATATAGATAATCTGGTTGAGAACTCTTTCCTCTTGATTTTTGTTATTCTTGTACAACATGTAGTCAATATGGAACTCAATCAAACCCTTCATCGTTTTTACCATAAACTTCAGATGGTCTTCCATACAGTCAAACCCGCGCAATTGCATACCCGCGCAACTGCATAATCAGCCTTTTTGCATAGGCCAGGACTTTCCCCGACTTGGTGCAGGCTAAAAATTGCATTTATTGCATAATTTTGTCAAAAATGATAATGCATAAGTCAAAACCCAAAAAAACCGGGTCTTGGAAGCCCAATTGCATAGCTTTTACTCAACATACAGGATAAAAAGTACATAATTAGGCATAAACCTTGAGCCCTAAGTCTTAAAGCCTAGCTCATAACCTGCAAAAATGCATAATGTTATGTATTTTGGCCTATTTCCGCATATATGCATAACTTTATGCATTTTAACCTATCCTGTATTTTACCTCACTTTGCATAACCTATGAAATTGCATAGGCCCAATGTTCCCCCCAAATTATGCAATTGCGCGGGTTCGACTGTATTTGCTACCTCCATGAGATTGTCCTTTCAGTATACATCAACAAAGAAACTTGATCATCTTTATCTCTAAAGAATTTTATTTGTCTAATATTTTGGATTGATGTTTGATTGATTAAATCATTTGTTTTGATCTTTTGGGTTATTTGAACAAAAAGTTCTAAAAACCACTACAATGATGATGATAGCTCTCAAGGTTGGTAAACATAACATGATTATTCAATTGGAATTGTGATTAGGATTTGGATGCTGTCCACAATTGTCAATTGATTTTCCTTAGGACATCAAGTCTTGATGTCCTAAGGAAAATCAATTTTGATCTCAGAGATTGGATTAATGATCTTTGGAACCAAAATAAATACTTATATACAAGAGAACAAAGCAACACTTTGAACATCAATTTCAATATGATTGTGTAGATGAGACTTGGCTCATTATAAAAAATTATCCCAGATTTTCAAGCATACCAGGGCCTCCAAAGTAGATATGAGCATTGATGCTTGAGTATAACTCAACACTTGTCCACCAGAAGAGAATGCTTGTTCAGATGGACAAGGAGTGGCTAGAACAGCCAGGTAGAATTGCGCCATTTGAGCACGAATCAGGAAGTCAGTCATGTTGTTCCTCCAATATTCCGACATATTGTGGCATTCAAGCTTATGTGGGAGGCTGAGGTAAGTGTTGACCTTGTCTCTCACAGTTTTTCAAGGCTGCGCTGAGGCATCCCTGTCCAGAAGTTAGGTTTTATAACAGTTCTTGTTTTTGCTTAACACTTCAGTACAATTAGATTGTGGATGGGTAGATCTCAAATGAGATCTTGATTGAGTTGAGGCTGACAGCTATGGTGGAATGTGGGCTAACAGCATGCAAGAAATGATACAATTCTGAGTGGCGGCCCAGACTTATATGGTGAGTACAATTACATTGACAAAAGACTATGATTTCAAGTATGATTGTGTGGTAATGCAGCTCATAACCTATAACAGATAGGTCAATTGGCAAGGTTAACTCACATCCAAGGTGTTGGCTCCAACAATGATGATGATGTGTAAGCCAATGCTGAGGTGGAGTGACTATATCTATGGTAATATTCACACACTACAGAAAATGTAATCTTTACCGGGCGGAAAAGAAAACTACTGACATAGAAAAATCCTGAGGCAACAGGAAAAGAACTAAAAATCTGAAAAAATATGCACCTTGTTCCTAGACGTTGGGGCGTCATAATGAGTATTTTTTTTTTGTATTTTACACACAAATATTGGCTAATGTACTAACAATAAAGGCTGAAAATCATCAAAAACCCACCTGTAACAATACCTGAAATTTGGCCCATGATTTTGAAGACAGGATTTTGAAATCTTCAAACATCAATAACTTTTGAAGTTCTGGATCAAATCACTCAATTTCAAGTTCATAAACAAGGTGAGTCTTTCCTATACATTTATTATTGTGACATCACATCTGTAGCTGGTCTGCAAAAGATCCCACAGAGCTATTCATGTAGAATTGTTTGAACAAATGTAGAGTGTTTACATGACAAGATAACACCTTGCTGCCTTTATGAAGTGTAAAGGAGAATGGTGTAGCTTTTGAATGAACCAACAATCAAGTTATTTGGAGCAGAATTGCCAAAGTTATTGAAGTTTTTAGACCACAAAATATTGTTTTCATAATCATGACCCAAATTTCAGCTATTGTTACAGGCAGGTTTTTGATGATTTTCAGCCTTTATTGTTAGTACATTAACCAATATCTGTGCGTAAAATACAAAAAAATACTCATCATGACGCCCCAACGTCTAGGAACAAGGTGCACATTTTTCCAGATTTTTAGCTCTTTTCCTGTTGCCTCAGGATTTTTCTATGTCAGTAGTTTTCTTTTCCACCCGGTAAAGATTAACTTTTTTGTAGTGACAGCAATCATGTGACCTGCTGTGACCCAGTTGTGTACACACAACAATCAACAACAGGCTTGAACGGGTCAGCCCCAAGAACCATTTGGGCACATTGGGCAAGAGCCTTGGTGTTGACCTTGTTGTTCACAGTTTTTTAAGCTAAACTGAGCCCCTCTTCCAAAGTGGCCGCATCTGCTTTCAAAGAGGGGATTAAGGCTTATACCCCAAGCTCAACCTGAGACCAGCAGGATTTTAAAGCAATTTTGCTTGAAATCCCTGTTTGAGGCCCCTGAACATTGTAAAAGCTTGCAATAAATTCAGCAGGGCTTCTCCTTGTACTACTTTTAGCCTGTCACCACTTCTAGATTGTGAGAAAATTTGATTCCAATACCAAGTGAATTTGACTGGTTCAGCACAAAGGTAGGCCCACACACTGAGTATGACCCAGATTTACAATAACTCAACAGCTCAATTTTGTCAAATTGCTCAAGTAAAGTGGTGTCAAAAGTGGTAATAGTGAGCTTTCTGAAATCGACTGTATATGAGAAGGGAAAACATGAGAGCAGGGAAGACACTTCCCACAGTGGTGTACCCAAAGTTGGGGGGCAAACCCCGGTGGAGTGAATCAAATATGCTTGAACAAAGATATTGGAGGAGCAAATTGCAATTAGGGTGTTCCATCTACTCCTCTATCGTGTTCGATAGCCGTCTTGTTATTTACTAACTGTATTCAGTTGTTTTATTTCTTTCTCTCCCATTGTTACAAGTCATGCTAACATATCCTCCAACCAACGAGGTACATGCTAGGGTGGGGGGGGGGTCTATGGGGGTTCGGCCCTAACCGGGGTTATCTTGGGAACGGCCAACACGGCCGTTTTCCCGGGTAGGGTCCCCCATAAGCCCGACAGACCTGTGAACACCTGAGAGTTCGGTCCTAGCCTAGGGAGGTGGGTGGGACAAAAAATTATAGAAAGAAAGTTAAAACGTGCGACGGCTAGTGATCGTAGACTTTTGGTGTTCTGCTAGAAGTTAGGAAGTGGTACTCTGCTGGAGAATTTTTCTCCCAGAGATTACCACTTCTTCCTAGCGAGTTGTCTCCCTGTCACTTACGTGACATGGGAGGCCCTACTCATCTGTCACACTCTTTTGGCTACTATGGAAATTTTCCACACGCCGTGCCTTTGGTGTGAATGTCTATCAAACCTGTGCAAGAACTGTGCAAGACCAACGTGCAAAATCCGTGCAAGATTTTTTGCACTAATCTTGCACATTAATTTTTTTGACAACCCGAGTTATTGTTCCAAACCGTGCAAAAACCGTGCGAGACCGACTCTTGCAAGTTTTGTCCAAGATCCGTGCAAGTTCTATTCATATCTTGCACAGAACTTGCACAAAACTTGCATGAATTGATTTTGAGGTTTGAACACCCTAAATACAGTTGTTTTTGCAAAGGTTGGCTGTACAGGTGTTGTGTATTGGTCAGATCAAAGCAGTTGCATGAGGACCCCGGAAAACTCCTGGAGAACAAACCGTCCTCGATCCATTTGGGCCCCGGCCCTCACACTTTCACTGTTTGCCCCGAGGAGAGGTGGGTTAACATGGATTTCTCGGTGGTAGGAGAAGCGCCTTGATCAGGGCTCTCGATTACATATACTTTCAGTTTTGTACCACGTGTGATCACCGAGATATCCGTATGTAAGTACCCGACCCGAGCCGGTATGGATTTTCGTCGGTCTGGGGGGACAAAAGTTACAAATCACACATTTCCCAAGCCACCAGTCATGTTCAGGGTCAGACATGTGTACCATCTGATAGCCCTCGTTGAGGCGCATCTTTTGCACCTGTCACATCTCTGGTACCATGTGACATGACTTCACAAAACACCGGTATCCGAAAACCCCCTCAGGACGGTTTGTTCTCCAGGAGCTTTCCAGGGTCCTGTTGCATGCAGTTGCATGTGATGTCGAGAGCCTGCCAGACCTTGCAGATCCCGGCTCAAAATCACCGGCGCTTAAAGTCTGGAGACTCTCAATGTCTCACCACTGGCTTTGGCCTGTGAGGGGAATCGGCCAAAGCTTGTCATGCGTTTCTCGCACGCTTCCATGTCCTCTCTCTTACATATCACCGATATTGCTTCCCCGAATGATATCTTTCCCCTTGCGGTTCAGAGGCACTTGGATAAGTTTAACAATTTCACCGAATGGTTATGTATGATTTAAACGCATCGGGACTTGGATAAGTTTATGATTGCTGCACCGGATTGCTGTGTGTGGAGTGTGGTGCGGAAAAAGACATTCTTGAAAAGAAATTAAGATGCGGTTCTCCATCCTTGACTAGAACTTTAATTGTCTTTCCTGATGAGACCTAGCGCAGATTTCTAATCAAACAAATAGTGAATACATGTTCTTTACATAATCTAATTTGTCATCTCTTTTATCACCGATATTGCCAGAGATATTGCACCCCCCGAATCAGTTGATATCTTGCGGTTCAGAACTTTCTGATTCAGTAAAACGCAATATCATCCTTAGCAGTCATCAGCCTTCATTTAACTAAAAGGTGACATCATCAACTCTACAATGATCCTTTTGTATTAACTCTGACTTTTTTCACCAATCGGTTTTTTACCTGTTTTTACACCTCTTTTTCCCCATCACAACTCTTCTCGCTACAAGTTTCAAAATAAAGCACGCCTTTAATTATTCTTCTACAACACGACAGTCGACGTAGACGGGATCAATGTCATCAAGGAAAGATGAACACAAGTTAATTGATTTCATTACGAAATTACCTCGTAATGTCAATCCATGGAATGCGGCTTCAAATTATCTCCAAAACGAAACAAGTGTAAGCTACACGGCTTTTTACGCTTCCGAACATTGCCATTCAAGAAAGTATGGCTGATTTTTTTTTGCGTTTTTTTGGATTATATGAATGAATCATATCGGTTCATCATCATTGGAATTCGGTATGATTGATCTAGCCTGTCTTGTTACCTAAGTGGGCAAGAATTGTAATGGGTGTCATCATGCTAGGATATTTTGTGTAAGCATTAAATCCTCACTTCCTCTATATAAAAAACGAAGGATTTCGCGTTGATATATTGGTTATGATATTCCTATCTCTAGAATGTTTCTGCAATGTCTTCGCCTCATCTATATAAGACTTGTCACCAAAACATTTCGATTTTTCTCAGTTACAAGTCGTAGGTTTTTTTCAAACCAATCAGGATATTCTACAAAACCCTTAGAAAACATCATCATCATTTAATTGGCATTTTTCTGTTCTTTATCTTTGGAAATCATTTGGCTTCTTAGTTGGAATTCTTAAAATCGATATACCTAATCTAACTTGTTTAACCTATTTTGTTTTCACGTTACGTGAGTTTTTTTCCTTTATATCTTCTTGTTGATATATATTATCATGCTTCATTGCTTTTTTGGAAAGAATCTAATGGTTTCTAAATTTATACTTATCAATTCACAGTTGCTATGGCCGACTTAACTCTTCAACAACTTATAGATTCTGGTCATTCACCTCAAATGATGGGAAAGTTGACTCTATTTGCCACAAAGCTTGCAATCCTACTCGCAGGGGCTTGGTAAGCATTAGACCAATAACACCCTTCCAAAACTTGAAAGTACATAAACTAATTCTATGACAATCCACAGGGGTATTACTGTTTTGCACTACGCGATATAATTTCAGTGCAAGATTTGAATACTGAATAAACCCTTTGGATGATCTTTTTTTCTTATAGGGTTCATTTGGGTTTGTATCTGTCAATGTATTTCAACTTTATGGGAAGAAAAATGGAGTGATGACGTTAGAAACCGTACCAATTTTTCGTTACCAACTATCTGGCGCAGACTCTCAAATTTATCATTCCTTTTACTAACACTTTGGCCAATTGGTAAGATAACCATTCTTTGTTTTCCTACTTTTTTTGATGTTTTGGACAGGCTCATGTAATTGATTGTTATTTCATTACAGTTGGCATATTTGTTGTTTTTTATTTAGCAGATGTTCAAGTTCAAAATTTGTTACATCTTCGGGTTTCGATTCTTTCTGATTTGAATTTACAAGCTCGTACGTATGATAGTACGAATTACCGACCAATGGATATCTTACTTAGCTTAATGAGAGCCCGGCAGTTAGTGGTATATCGAGTGAGGTCTTGGTACATTGTATCATCTCTGGTGAACATAACTGATAGATAAATTGAATATATATGTAGGATCGAATTGCACGATTGTTTAGACTAGGGATCTTGCTTGGACTATGTGATTTGGCATTCTTAGGGATAGTGAGTCGTATAGTGAGATTTGATATGATTCTTAAAAGAGTTTATTGTACTTACTTTTGCTTATCTGTGATTATGCAGATTTACCTACCGGCTTTGATCATTTCATTAGGATCACTACGTCGAAGAGCCGCAGAAGCAACTTTTGCAGCTGCTATACCTACCGAAGATCAGGATGAGCATTTTGCAAGGATTGAAGCTAGATTGAAAGAAGAATATATAGCTGTTATCGCACATTCTGCATTTGTTTATCTTTTTGCAATCATGTTTATTCCAGTTATGTCATGGCAAGTGAGTATAATCATTTAACCGTTGTAAAATCACGCTACAAATTTATTGAAACTTGATTTGATTTTCAGTTGACTTACAGAGATCCAACATTCCTAAGAAATAAAACTTGGTTAACCGTCACACAAATCGTAAGTAAAAAAATCTCCTGCTCATAGATGTAAAAAAGAAAAAACTTTGATTGATTCAATTTGTTTTTCTTGTGTAGGGATTACATGGTCCATTTGCAATAGGTGGCAATTGGTTGAGTTTCTGTTTTCAATTTGTATACACAGCATTTGATATCTAATTTGATGACTTCATACTTCCTTTATATGATTATATAGTATCGAGTTCGTCATGAATAGACAAGCAAGCCGTTTATTACTAAAGCATCGAGCTGAAAATATAGCGTGTCGTTATACAAGTACCAAGGGTAGCTCGATGGAACTGATGCCTGCAAGATATCTATCACGCTCAAGTTCAACGATAAGAAATTAACTTTAAGGGATCTCAGGATTCATTGATCGGTTTCTGGGATTTCATCTGCTTTTTTCTCAAAAAAAGTGCATGAAAGCTTTGTTGTATCAAGACTGTCTGAACAAGTAAACAAAGGAGACTAGTTTACCTTGAAAAATAGCCATCTAGTCAGATATGTTTTGTGTTTGTGCATTGGCTGCACACTAACCAACCAGTTGTAAAACAGCAATTTGAATACATACATTACCCCCCACAATCAATGAATTATCATTTGTTTTGAAGTTGTCCTTGGAGAGTGAGATGCATTGACTTGATGGATTTTTGTCATTAACGTTCTCAATTGTGACTGATCAAGATTATTGTACATCAACACAAGTTCTGTAAATTCATCGCAAGCACAGTTGTTCATCAACAGTTGTGTGTTGTGATTGAAGGATAAACTAGTCCACCAAGATTTGATATGCAACTTGCATTGTGGTAAAGTCAATGTGTGAGCACAACAAAAGACAAAAAAAAGAGGGCAACCCTTTTGCTGTAGTGCGGCCCAGATACCTAACTTATGAGCCTTACCCAGATACCTAGTGTGTGCATTTTGTTGTATTGCTTGCAGAATACCAGAAAGACCTCAGGATATTCTGTGGTGTCTGACCACAAGAAAATGGAAATTGGGTTGGTGCATGTCATTGCACTCAACAATAACCTAGCTACATCAATTTCAAGTCCCTAAATGTGTTGAGAAAATCTGTAATAGAGTATTGTGAATTCAAATACCAAGAAAAAGAGAACCAACATATTTAAAAGATGTATGCACTACACATTGTTGCATATGCATACCATCAATACTGATGCATTGGATTGTGATGGTAGGTACAAATCTCACAGGATCTTTTTTGGGCTTTTTGTGGAGCATCTGGAATGCCAATATGAGGTGGTGACTTTCTCAAGGTTGCAGACTGAAACAAAGGGTTTTGTGTAGTTGATACGTCACCTTGAGGGTTGTCTGGGTTTTAGAAGTGTTTCAATTACTTTTCTTTGTTATGACTCTCAGTGTGTCAGTACCTCAGACGTGGTTCTTATATGTTTTATTTATCGTGACCAAGAGTGGACTAATTTTTTCCTTTCACACTGCACTGTCAGTTATAAAACTGTGTGTTTATGCAATTGAAATATGTGATACACTATGTATACAATATAAGAAATTGGTAGGTGACATTGAGGGTGACAAGCATACTAAAAGTGAAACATATTTATAGTATACAAAGTAAAAATCTGGAACCAGTCTGGGTTTCCCAACTTGGACTTTTTGGCAGTATTTGAGAAACTTGTAATCTGGGTGAAAATTCCAATTTTTTCCAAGTTTGAATCTTCAAAATCCCTTCATTTCCAACTTCCCTTCAAAGCTCCACTTTGATTTGGTCTCAAGTTCTCAACTGATGCAGTCTTCCCTCATCACATACATCCATCCACTACCCTCCTGTCATGCCTTGTTTTGCTGGTAAACAAGTGCTTTGAAAGTCAATTGAAGCTGCCAGTCATGCAAGAAGGGCTCATGCTTGTAACAGTGACAGCTGTAGAATTCTAGCTTCTCAAGATTGGGATATTGGTGTGGTTCAGTTTCTCTTACATCTCATACAAAATCTTCACACCTTTTGACTAGCAAGACCAACAAGGATTGAAAGAAGGCTGGTTTCATCTTGTTAGTTGGTATCATGAAGTTCATCACTGTAATCAATCAAACCCATGAAGTCATTTTATTTAGAGCTTGACAGCAAGCACACACACTCACCAAACCTTAAATGCTCAATGAAAGTTTGAGAATTGTGAATTAAAAACATTTGTGGTTGATTGAGTTTTACAAGGGTGAACACAAGCGATATAGTTTCAAGTTTTTGACTTGAAAAGTTAAATCAGGCAACGACAAATCTTTTCAAAAATCCACCAGTGAATCCTACAAAGGCTGTACCTTGGAGGGACGGCCATTGAGCTGGAGCAAAGGAGTTTGTTGTCATTTAATGTCTAGAGGTCTTCCTTATTCCTTATATTCCTTCCCTTTTTTTTCGAGAAATCATTGAAATTGTTTATTCATGATTATTCACACCTTTGTGCTAGCACAGATTACGGTGGATATGAAGTTGAGATCATTATGATCATTCATTTATAGAGAATTGAGAGCAATGGAATTGTTCAATCCTAAGAAAAGAAACTGCCTCGACGGTAGTATCCAACAGCGTATGATGTCATTGCTGTGGATCCATGAATTATATTAGAAGAAGTCCGACCCGTCAGTACAAGTACCAGATGTGATAATCCCAACTTTCCCATTCCATTTTGTTTAATAACTAGTTACCAACATCGAGGCATTTGTTGGGTAACTGATAAGATGATTGATGTTGATTATGGCCTACTTTGAGGCATGAAAAGTCTCAGTGCAGACTTTTGAAAATCACCAGATCATGGTCGGGACTCAGGACTCAGCACGGGCAGAAGCACCGGTTACAGGTGTGTATGTAGAGTGAGTTAGGTCATGTAAAGTGAGTTTGATTGGAAAGTGATTCAAGATTGATTGTTAATCGAAAAGAAAGATGTCAATTTATTCAAAACCTCATTCACAACCAACTGGATCACATTCACAATCAACAAACCATCGAAGCGAAAGTTGGGAAACACTTTGTCCATTAAGCGAATTGGAAAAACAATCGATTCAAATCATACAAAAATCATTATTATCTATCACAAAACAACCTATTCAATCTTACTTAAACACTCCAATCTCAACTAGACCTTCTTCTCCTTCTAACAAGAATCATTTATTGAAATTTAAACATCATTTCCATTCAAAACAGATTATAAAAGATGATGAAAGAGAAGAAGAAGATCGAACCAAAGAAGTACACGAACCGATTCAAAGTATTGAAGAATTTAACGATTGGTATCAACATATCTCTACGATGATCGAAATAGACTCAGAATCAACTTACCAAACTCATCTTTCACAACTCAAAACGTATGTCGAAAGTTGTGATGAACTCTTGCATCAGATTTCATCTTCAGAAGGATCTTTAAAAGAAATTAAAGCGAATTGGAGATATGTAGATGAGAATTCAAAGTCATTAGAAAGAACTTCAGAAGGGATTCTCATTGATTTTAAATTACTTCATCAACTACAACATGAACTTTTTCAAAACTTGAATTATTTTAGAAAGTTAGAGGAGGCTCAAAACTTATTGAGTTTTAATGGTGAGATTGAAATTGTTAAATCTGATGGATTCTTACCTATGTTGGATCAATTAGATCTTTGTTTAGAATTCATGAAATCAAATGTAAGTCTTCAGATGTGACTTAATCTTCAACGTAACATATACTGATCATTTTTTTCGATCTTTCTTAGCGTCATTTTAGAGATGCAGATCTTTATTTAGTCAGATTTCAACAATGCTTAACCCGTTCCATGACCCTGATCAAACTTTTCTTCATCAACACCCTTCGAAGCTTATCAAACACGATCCACGAAAAACTATCGAGCGGGAGTCTTCCAGACCATCAAGATCATCCGACTTACCGAATCTTATTCTACAAGAAATTCGAAACTCTCTTGATCGAACAAAGACCATTCTTAATAGAATTAGAAAAACGATCGAATCGAGATCCCAATGAATATCTTTCAATCTTACTTGAATGTGTTTTTAATTGGATCTCGATTCGAAAAAGTTTATTAAATCAAAAGATTAAACGTCAAATCGAATTGATTTCTATTGAGTATAGTCAATGTCAAGATTTAATTAAATTAACTAATACTGGATGTTTTTATTTACGTCAGATCTGTTCTGATGAGTATCGTTTGTTTCGTCAATTCTTTCATTCTTCAGCTGATGATGAAGTTTTGTGAGTGTTTTTCTTGACCGAATTGTTTTTTTTTCGTTTGGATGCGAATGTAAACTGATTTTATGATTATGAATAAATCTCACCAGTTCATACCTAGAATCTTTATGTGATTATCTATATGATTTACTAAGACCTCAAATCCTACACGAATCAAACCTAGACACATTATGTGAATTAGCCACAATAGTGAACAGTTTGATAGCCATCGATAGTGATCTGATAGAAGAACCAGAACAACCTACCCATTCCGATTCTCCAATCCGATCTAAACCCTTTAAATTTTCAACTTTACTCGATCCTATCTTACAAGACATTCAAACCCGTTTGATTTTCAGATCTCAATCTATCATTCAAACCGATGTGGCTCATTATACACCTCAACTTGATGATTTAGATTATCCTAATAAATTGATCGTTAAGAAGACTACTGGTACTGAGAAATCAGCTCTCATGGGCCTTCAAAAATCTTGGTTGGCTGATGAGGAGGATCTTCATGAAGAAGTCGCGTTGAGGTTTAGATTACCATCTGATGAAGTTCAAGAGCTTTGGTACCCTACACTAAGGAAAACGTTGTGGGTACTTTCGAAATTACATACCTATGTGAATGTGAGTAGGGCAGATTCGTTGACTGTCGTTTTTTTGAGATTGGAGGGTTTGGATTGACGTCTGATTTTGTTTTTTTTTTCTTTCGGAATAGGATGCGATCTTTGAAGATTTCGCTGGAGAAGCCGTTGGGATTTGTTCACAATCGATCATAGATGCATCCAAACGATACATCCTTACCAAAAGCTCGAGTCCCAACCCAACCGGAAGCTCACCTGATCCAAGTATCATTAAGATGGATGGACAATTCTTTATGATTCGACATTTCTTAATATTGAAAAAGATGACGAGAAGAGTAGAGATCAGTCAACTTGATCGAGCCGTCGATCTAAGTCCGATCACTGATCTTTTAAGAGATTTGTTAATCACACCAACAGGAACTGCCTTAAGTTTATTACACTTCAAACCGATGAACTTTTTAAAAGGTTTAACGATCAATAAAACATCACATCAATTGAGTATCGATTCTAAATCAGAATTAGATAAGAAAATCAAATTAGGATTTCATGAGTTTATTGAGATTGGATGTAATTGGTTAGGAAACCCATTGGATCAGTTCTTGATGAGATGTATGAAGTTTTTGAATCAGAATCAGAATCATGATGGAAATGGTCAAAGATTAAAAGATCAAGAATGGGCTTCTGATTCGAATGTCTTGATGGTTTATCATGCTTATTTGGATGGGATTGGGATTGGGATTAAGTGGGTTTTGAATAGGATTAAAGTTTGGCTTGAAGATGAAAAGATCATTAATGTGATCTTTCCTAGTTTTCAAGTTGAGTTTTTTTGAATCTTTTTTGTTTTTACTTTTGCTTTTTGCTTTTTTTGGGCGGTAAACTGATTTGATTTGGGATTGGATTTTTTTGTTTCGGTTGTATAGGATCAATTAGGATTAGAGTATCAAAAGTTTTTTAATTTTTGCAAGTTTGAGTTTTATGAATTGATTAAAGAAGAAAAGATTAAAACGTTTGAAAACTTTAAAATCGATTTACAAAACTTAATTTATGATGATTGAAAGATCAAATTCATTGAAAATGTAAAAAACAAATCAATGATGGAATTTGGTTTGTAGAGATGAGGAAAAGGCAAGGGTCTTGGGAACTTGGGTTTGTAAGGATCAGGATGGTTTTGGGAAATTTTGTTGCTTGTTTTGGGTTAGGAGTTTTTAATGATTTGGTTTAGGATGATGAAAAAGTAAAATGTAAAGATGATATATAAAGTTGTTTCTTTTTTTAACATTGGGTTTTTGTATAAAATAGTATTGGTTTCTTTAATCATGATGTGTGGAGTTTTTGAAGTTTATGTATTGGGAATTGGACACATGGTTTTTTTTTTGGTTTGACAGCTTGGTTTATGGGGTTTAGAAATGATGAGGTGTCTTTGGGAATTTTGTAACAGTTCGAGGGTTGCTTTGTAAGAGTAGATAGAGGGGTTGAGATCGTCAAGGGAAGTGAGTTGTAATCTTAATCTCAAAGTGAATGAATATGATTACATTTCATCGAAACCATTGATTGAAATCATAATTTTTGATTTTGATTCTTGGATTGATTTGCAAATTTCTCTCTTTCGAGCTATTGCCATATACTTCTCAAGAAGGATTCTTTGTTTCGATATTTTTGAAAAGATTTGCAATTATGGCAAAGATAATCACCTCGCATGGGAGGCATAGGCAGTTTAGATGAGGCTCTTTTCGCGTAATAACATGAACGTAATCCCAATCAATGATTAAATTACGCAGAGTACAAGTGATCATGAGTCAAACAATCGGGGTATTTTGTGATGTACATCTGAAGATTAGAGTGATCAGATAGAAAAAAATGAAACAAGTGGCTAGTTGATTCCCAAGGGAATTAGAATCTATGACATCATATCAATCGACAGTTTTCGGTTTCAGTTCTGACGGCGTTTGAGTCTGGGCTCATCCTTTTGTGGAGAAGAAGGAATCAAATTAGAATCATCTAATAAAGGATAAAGTCAGAATAAACCTACAGTTTCTGGGGCTGGAGCAGAGCGTTGATATCCATCAGATTCGATGGGTTGAAATTGAGCACTTGAGTCATCTTGTGATGGTGGTAATGATGCGGGTTCTACTGGATATCCTTCACCATTGTATCCCAAGTCTCTTTTAATGAACTGAAGAAGGGAGAAACTTGGCATTAGAAGATTGGATGATATATCACGATGGTTAGATGGATAACATTACCCTGCCTCCTAATCCTGCACCGACTCCAACACCAGCTCCGACACCTACTCCCAACTATGCATCAAAAGTGGTCAGGGTCATGTTAGTAAATGGTCTTGACAAAATTCATGACAGATTGGGAACTTACGCCTCCTCCAACACCGATTCCTCCTCCGATTCCTCCACCTAGTCCAATACCACCCTGTGAGATGACGTATGTTAGTTTGAGCCTCATGAGCATATAGACAGTGGAAAAGAAGTTTAATGGGAAAAATCAACGCACTCCATATCCTAGGCTTGAACCATATCCAATCTGTTATTTAAAAAATGGAAAAAAGGCCCTCGATCAGATCAAAAAACTTTACTCAAAGAGATATTGTGATGACTTACGCCGCCGATACCACCACCACCATATAATCCTCCACCTATGCCTCCATAACCACCAAATCCTCCTCCGATGCCTCCAAATTCGGCACCATATAATCCTCCTCCTATGCCTCCATAACCACCAAATCCTCCTCCGATGCCTCCATAACTACCACCATAACCACCACCATATAATCCTCCGCCGATACCACCATAACCACCACCATACAATCCTCCGCCGATACCACCATAACCACCACCATAACCACCACCATATAATCCTCCTCCGATACCACCGTAAGCACCACCATATGAACTGACACTTGAGTAACCGCCTACTCCAATGCCACCGAAGGTGGGTGCAGCAAAAACCGATGAACAAGCCATGACAGTAGCCAAAGCGAGGATTGAGTTGGATGGCATTTTCGAATGAAAGGGAATTTGAGAAATAATAAAATTAATTCGATACAAGTGAATGAGAATATGCAAAAGTTAATGAAAGGTGAAAAATAATAATAATGTGATGTGTGATATGATATTATGCTATGTAAGATTGGAAACCAGTCCAATAACTTAATACTAAAACAAATAAGACAAAAAGTGGATGGGATCTTTAGGATGAGGTACAATCCGAACGGCTCAGGGGTCTGCGTTTTATAGAAACATCTCGACATGTGTGAAGTGGTATCGCTACTCGTTTTCCGGACCAGACTGAGGAACGACTCAGATTGGAGCACGCCGTGTCTTAGATCATCCTATCGGCAGATTCCTAGTCAGACCGAAGTGGTTGATGTCGTGCGTGTCGAGTGAGGTTGAGAATGGGTTATTGACCAGCTTGAACTGGCCCGGTCCCAAAAGCGCCTCGGCGGCCGGCACGGCTAGAAGTCAACAGGTCGATGCCATCGAAACCTCAGTCAAGATGTTTCGTGAAGAGGATCCAAGGAAATATATTCTGTCAAGTCTCGTATATACGGTACCAGCGCCAAGAGATAACACGCAGAGAATTGTGGCGATTTAACCTTGAATAGACTTGCCAAAATCGCATCACGCACAAGGACAAGGCATCACAGGTCGATATTCACCTGACCAGTTGATGCATAGTTTGAGGGATCAAGAACGAACTGCTTCTAATCCCTCTGCCCCCGTTGCACGCGTAGCCGTCAGCCCGGTAGATCAGAGGCTTCAGGATCAAGTCCAGGATTCAGTCATCTAGCCCGTGGTATTAGCAATCGGGGTAGTGCTATCACTGAGGTGGTTTCACTCCTCATCTTCATCTGCTCGTACCGGGATGTCGTCTACCTCCGATTCAATATATACGTGCGCCTCCTTCGGTATCAACATCAAGACAAGTGATGGCTTCAGATCCTACAGATTTAAGAATGTCACGGCCTGCTTCTTCAAGACATGCTCCTCAAGCTCAATCACAACATTGTCATCAACCACATCAACCTATCGCAGGTCCTTCATCTAGACCAGTTGCTTCTACTTCTGGTATGCAATGAATGCTTTGATTTTCTCAAGATACAACTTGAGCAGCGCATTAATAAAGAGTGAAAGCAGTTTGTGTGGTTTGTAAGATTGAAGGGTGATATTGTGAGTTTACAGTTAGAGATGGACTGATGAGCTGAACCCAAAAATTGAAGTTTTGATTATATCGAACTTGTTTTGTCTGTTTAGTATTCGCAAGTTCTTTACTTTACTATTTACATCCTCACTCATATCCAGAAGAAATCATGTGGCAGGCAAAATAATGATAGTAAGAAAGATGAGCAAAAGACCAAAAAGTAGAAAATCCAAAAACCTGAATGGATGTCATCAGGAAGATGATGATAAAGAGTTGAAGTTCAACTGAATGAGTGTTTTGTGTTGTTGTTGTACAAAGAGGTATCTTTCATCGTGAACTTGGATCCTCACACCGCGGGAATGATTAAGTTCAAAACCCGATTGAGCGAAGTTGCGGTGTCCGAGTCCGCAACTTTGCTCAATCACGGATCTTGTTCACATCACGTTCACAATTTGTTCACAGGTTTCCCCCGAGCTCTACTGATACTCTGCCTTTGTATGTATTCAAGATCAAATTTCAATTTGTCCTTGATGAGCTCCTTTCTTTGTTGGTTGAGCATCTGGAACTTTGAAAAAGATTGACATAAGCACAATTCACTGTCCATGTCTCTAAAAAGATTTGCCATAAACACACAGTGTTGTTTAACATTGTTGGTTAGCGACCCACATGATGGTGATGGGACAATACTTCATGGGGCATGGTGAAAGCACTGAGATGAAAATTGGAAAGATGAATTAGATTAACAACAAATGTCAAAGACTGATGACTTGCAAGGGACTTTCTGTTGTATGATTGTTACTTAAGATTGCGGAGGGTAACTGGAGGGAAACCTGTGAACGAATTGTGAACGTGATGTGAACGAGATTGGTGATTGAGCAAAGTTGGGGACTCGGACACCGCAACGTCGCTCAATCGGGTTTTGAACTCAATCATTCCCGCGGTGTCATTGAAGTTTTTCCAAGAAGTGGGAATGACCTGAGATGATTTTTGGGACACATTGCCAAATTGGGCCCCAAAACAGCAGAAGCGGCTGTGGCCCAGACCTGTTAGCCCAGGGCCGGACACGCAGACAGACCCTGCCTCGGGAGGACCTGAGGGCTCTCAAAAACTAGTCAGGGCCAAGCAGGTCAGTGTGGAAAGGGAGATATATATAGTTGAATTTCTTGTGGTTCACATGTCTTAAAGACTGATACTCATAGGGAGAAAAACAACTATGAGAGCCAACTTGGAATATAAAAAAATACTATGGAGACATATCTAGAAGGCTATATGAGCATAATCATAAAGTGAAAAAAACTTTGGTTGAATGAAACTTTCAAATTATTTTGCCAATTCTTTCCTCCAGCTCTTGAGACAAATTTGGGCTTCTAGATTAAGGGAAGTGAAAGAAGCATAATGGTCACTCACAACCCTCAACACATTAGAGAATGTAATTGCAGATGGAGCAGAAGTAGCAGGCACCACAAGCATAGCCATTGCTCTTCAACTGAGGTTGGGCCAAAGCTGTTGGTTTATTTGCCAGAATTTGAGGGGGGCTTGCAAACCTGATCTTCTTGAGGCACAGTCAAATACTTGTGGACTTTGTGTTTAATCTGAACCATCCTGTGCTGTTTTATAAAGTGATAAGGTTGCTCAGGATTAATTGTCTCCTTGGGTTCAACAACCTCAACATTGGGGTCACAAACTGGCTTGAACTTGCTGGCTTGTTCCGTAAAGTGTCAAATTGAGTCATCAGTTCCCCAACCAAGGAATTTCAGAGTTGGCCCTTTGGCAGAGAGTTTGAGATGTGGGTTGAGGATGACCTTTTCAAGCCACTCCACTAGCCATTGATAGTCTGGCATAACCCAAGAGAAAGTTGAGTACAGATGACCTTCAAGAGTCTTGATAACAAGGGAAAGAGGTGATAAGAACTTCCTCACCTGCTCTTTCTTGTGTTTGACTGTTTTCCCCTTCTTTGTTCAAAGCTAAAGCTGCTGAACATTGTCTATTTGATCTTTCTACCTTTTCTTCAGTGCAACCAATTCTTGCTGATAATGAAACATCCCTTTTGATTTTTGATGTTTTGGTCTTCTGATTTAAGTGGATTTTATATTGATTTTGCTTATATTTTTTCAAATTTAAAAGCTTTCCAAGACAATAAGTGTTAGAAACAATACGGGAGCTGATGAAATGGGTTTTTGGGGCTTGAGGTATAAGTGGGTCTTGGGAGGACATAATTCTATCTACATATCCTTCGCACCCGAGCTGACTCTGTAACCGACTCCTCAGCCCCGCCGTGCCTCACCGGTTCTGAACTTCTTACAATGATAATCATGTTTAACACACCAATGACCAAATACCGCTGAGCTCATAGTAGGATCATTGTTTGAGGAATCGTAGGATTTATACAAAGTTCAAGTTTCATACGTGAAGCTTCAACGCTAGGTATGTGAGGATTAATAGAATATGAGCAGCTAACCTATCCAAGTCCCTCTCGGCCAAACGAGCATAGTCAAGGGGATGTGGAAGTGAGCCAATCAGAACAGAGATACCATCCCATTCAGTGACTCAGAACCATGAGTGATCCACCTTGAAAATTTCGATTACTTCTTGTGGCTAAGTTTTAGCTGAAACCAATCAATCGACTTCATCACTTAATCAAAGTTGAGCTATGTGGTGCACCTCATTATTTGTGTCAATTATTATCATTTCACTATTGATGTTGCGTCTTTAGTGTCTTGTGCAGATCAATAAGAAGTCAGGTTTCACACTTTCATCGTTAGATTGAACGCGCCTTGAGTGACACGGCTTCCACGTGTAACTACAGCTACTAAATATATAAAAGGCATAAAAATACAAATTTGTGTCGCACCGAGATTTAATACAAAAGTATAAAACCTGTTAAATCCGATCGAAAGTGACAGGTCTCCCGCAAGACATTGTTGAATTGTGTCCAAAACCAGGTTTAATCTAGTTTTGGGCTCTCAGATTTTACTTCGGGTGCATCACACAGACAAAGAATTCTGCCGTTTAATCCTTTAACGGCTGTAACGTCTTTCCCGTGCAACATGCATGCGCTTTGAATCGGCAGAACAAGACCGCACGGGCCCATTGATCAGGAATTGAAACCGACAGGAGTAGCTAGATGTGAACCAGAAGCAGGGGAGGATCAAGATAGCTTGAAACTCAAGTGCAAATGCCATGCAAAGCTAGGTGTTCAAAACCATCAAGGGAAATAATATTGTGAAGGGGCATCTGAGGCAGCCAAAACACCCATCATCAGTGAAAGGTCACTGGATTTCAGCATCAAGGTGGTGAACAGATAACGTTCGCTTGGTTCATTTTGCTTGTCATCCGGATGGAGGAATTCATGAAGGTATGTAGACATGCTCATTTTCAACCATTGGCGTGGTAGTTTTTTTCCAAAATAAAAATCTCCTGATTGAGGTGTCAAAATGAGGCGAGATCGTAATCAGATAATCACTTGCATATTATTTCATCTCGCCTCTTTTGAAAAATCCACCGCGTTCTATTCGAGAAATTGGGGAATTGGATCAACGGCGAATCATTATAAGGTGAGTATGTATGTGTACGGATTTACTCACCATGCTCATGAACATCACACAAATGAATCCAAAACATGTGATGGCTCATCGTCACGTGACATTTACGCCCCAAGGCTTGATATTGGTCAAGGGAAGTTGTCAAGAGGATAGTGAGAAATTCCAAGATTTCCAAATACTTTGCGTTTTTGACATCATATAAAGGCTGTGAAGCAACATAAACTTGTTACGGACTTTACTAGATTAGATCATCTAGGGGAGTGCATTCGGTTCATGTGACAGAATATCTGGTCTTGGATCAATTTTGGTGTAAGAGTTTGATGGTTATACTCTCATCGTCAAAGCTCATCATCGTCATCTTCTTTATCATTTTGCAGATATTTCCGATGTAAACCGTAATAGTATGGTGTAGGATCAATGAAGCGGAGAAAGATGTTTAAAAGGATTAACCAACTGCGGTACTCCAGTTATTGATGCTAGATTATCGCAAATTAAGCTGAAGTGAATCGATATGTTCGTAAATCCAAGTGGATTGACCAACCGCTGTCTGGACTCGCTTTCATGAATCAGGACAAAGAGGCGAGTTGACAGCGACGATATCGATGATGAGCCGCAAAAGCCAGAGAAGGGAATTTGAAAATGTGCCCATCTTCAATAGCTCCCCTATGTTACCGAGTAGTTATAACATGGTGGCGGTGATTGGTCAAGTTCATACAATCCTTGCACATTTCTTGATCACCTTCACATCATCTCACCCTTACTCTCCACCAAGTTCAACTATTTAATTTGGGTTTCCGCTACCTTCCAACCCTTCACCCTTTGTGCATTAGTACAGCGTCTCAACCTTGATCCACATCATTGGTGGTGCACTGTCTATTCTTTGATTTTCTACAACTAAACCGTTCAAATACAAAAAAGTATCGCCTTGTCTTCCTTCATCATCAACCTATCTTGTTTCCTCTATTGATACTTCAAATTTGAGCTTTATTTACACTCGTACACACAAATCCTATACTTATTATATATATATATATATATACTTATAACCTCAATATAGAGAGTCATCGTCATCAACCCCCTAACCTTCAGAGTCCAATCAGTGCTCCAATTCATTACTCACAATGCATTCACTTGAAAATGATGGTAACCGACCTTCTGATCTTTCTTCATATCAGAGGTGTGCTCTTCCGCTTGTATCAAGGTAAGTAATCTCATGAGCACTTGACCTTTTTTTGAAAACAACGAGCATGTAAATCCTAATCCTAAGCTTTTCTTTACCTTGACTTTCATCAACCTTTAGCCAAATCTCCAAGCTAGCTGGGGGACACTGTGTGCCAACGAAGCTGAAGGCGGAAGTAGCGCCAACGAAGCATAACTGGCGGCTGAGCGTACGAGGCAAGAGCCGTCAACAATCAAGCCTCGATAATTCTTCAAGACGGAATCAAGCCCATTATATTCCTAGCTCCTCTTTCGCCATTTCTATCAAGACCTATGGAAATCATTCGTCTGCCTCAGATCAAGAGACTCCATCTAACACATCCATCCCAGTTTCTCACCCCACTCTCCCTTCCAAAAAATTCGGTTCTCAAGCTAAACAAGCTTTCGGTCGATTTTGTTCATCAGCTAAACGTACCTTCACCATAGATGCTCTAGTCATCAAACCTATCAATCATAAAGATCAGCCTACAAAGGTACCCAGGCTAAAACGAATGTCAACCACCAATACGAAAAGACCCAAAATTTCCTATCCAATGAAACTACATAATCCCGAATTTGCCTTTATCGCTAGTAAAGATCCATGGGTATATGGATCATCTGATTCTGATGCTATCGTACCGCCTCTTCGTCGACATGCAACTTGTGGTGCTGTTGGTAGACCTGTTAGACCTGCTAGGACCTCACGCGATGTAGCTCTTCGTCGCTCTCTCAGATACAGGCGTCAAATTCTCAGCACGGCTGAATCATCAGATCGTGGTGATTTACCAGCAAGACCGTCTGCTCCTGAACCTATGGATATGGCGAGCTCATCAGAAGAGTGTAACAAATCATACGATTCTTCAAAGCACGGCGTTCCAAGTTCTAGTCTCAAGTCATCTATCACCTCCAAGAGTGTGGCCAAAAATTCGTTCAAGGTTCACTCTGATACACTTGAACCTTTATTGAATCACTCATCTTTCTCGACCGATAGTGACTACAATCGACCTCTCAGACGTTCACCTGATCAATCTCGACTCGATACTGAACGTCCCAGTTCCAGTTTATCTTCATTTACCTCTATGAAGAGTGACCCAGATCCATACGCCGGTATCCTTCGAACAAAAACCAATCCAATCATTCCAAGGGCATCTATCAGGTTCTCCGAAGAAGTTAGATTTTCACCATCTCTTATGAATTCCTCGACACCCAATTTGAGTACAGCTATCACGACTCAGACAGTTAAGCATTGCAAGCCATCCATGATATTGAATAGCGTGTTGAAAGTCGACTCGTCTTCTGATTGGTACGACGATTTGATGAACTCAATTGATAGGAAGATAGGAAACCAAAAATGAAATCAAAGAATAGATTGATAAAAAATAAAAGCTTATTTGCACATGTGAAGAATTGATTATTTGCTTATGTGGATTGAGTAAAACAATGGGAAAAGAGTTAGATTCTGTTCACTTTGATATTTCTAACCATTTATTTCTTTTATTTTACTCATTTCCTTGTGTGTATGTTTATGTTTATGTTCGACAGTGGGGTTCATTTATGATATGTTGAGATGAGAAGTGTAGATATTGATGATGATGTTGTTCATGCTTTCGATGTTTAAAGACGGATGATGATTCTTGATTAGTCTCTCCAAAGTTATGATGTATGTGATTGATGTGTGTACGTATGATGTGTGATCTCGCCATGATAGAAGAATTGTTATAATTCATCTTGCTGTTCGTCAATATAAAATGCTTAGCTTGGTTTATGATGATTGGTGTGGATTTTTACACTGCCTTTAGTGTGATGGCATCAAGATTTTAAAGTCACAATTAATCCCAGAGATACAAATTTGAGTGGGCCTTATGAGTAACCTAGAAGTTTGAATTTCTACCTCTGGGGTCATCTACCTGCCCTGGTCTATAAATCAATGCCATATGTGACAGTTTCCAGCTATAAGGTAGACCAGATGGCACAGTGGCACTCAGGAAGAGGTCCCTGAACAAAAAAATAGGTTGACAATAGCCATCTGTTTTTGAAAAACAGAGCGATTGTCACACTACTTTTCTAGAAGTAATTTGCCATAATGACATCAGGCTCAATTGGATGACACCTCCTGGGCCTTCCACTTGAACAACAGAGAATGGACAGATAAATAGGATCTCTTTGTCTATGTGTCTTGCTAAAAACTCAAAGAGAATAGCCCATCCATGATTTAGAGGAAGCTGATACATAGCCAGCAACACCAATTACGCTAAAAAAGTGTTAGGGAAGCTGTTAGTGTAAATTTTTCACACAGCTACACCAACACTTTCCGTTAGATGAACAGGAGGATCATATAAACTGAACAAAGGCAAGGGGTAATATTGAACCCACTCATTTACACTCAATTATGTGGTGTAAAGAAAGATACATGGTACAAAATCCTTTTTGAAAACTTTTTTTAACATTTTCAACAAATTTTACATTTTTGCTTTTCTCCCCAGCTGTCCTGAGGTCTTGGATTCCTCCTACAGTGCTTGGATACATATTTTGTGGAAGCAACCCCCAATGTGCAACACAGTTTACTGTGCAAAAATAGCGCCTGTGCTGGTCTCCGCGCACCACACTCTTGCATCAATGTCACTGCCCTACCACATACCCCAGGTAGGGCTATGGCCTGGCCCTGGCCCCAACCACCCGAGCCTGCCCGATCATTTCTTGGAGGCAAGCGGTACACACCTTGAGTCAGCTGAGCTTGGCCTACAGAGTTCCAGGATCCCCGCCATGGCCTGGGCCCTCACGGCGCTGGCCCTGACATTGTTGGTCCCATCCCTTCAATACAAGCCCACAACAGGCCCTGGTCTGCTTGAAGAAGCAGCCAGGCCTTTCCAGGGCCGGTTCATACCCCTAACCCCAGGGACCAGTTGGATTTTGGGGCACTGCACCAGCCCATCCCAGTGAGCGCATCTTGCGCACTTTGCAAGGCCCACATTTGGTCAGAGCCTGCCACAATATGGCCTTGTAGCCATGCATTATCTATCTTAACCCCAATAATTTCTAAGCTATTTCTGTAGAGCATTAGCCTTATAAGTGAGTGTTTCAGTGATGTTACCGGTTGTAAGAAGTTTACTTAAGCAGATCACAAGCCATCAAAAGAACTCAACCCTCAGCAAAACCAGCTTGTACAACCATCTCAGAGCATATCTGAGTCTGTCAGCCTGAAACTTAAAACAGGTGGCTTTAAGAGAATCAAAGCTGAATACTTGTGCGCTTGATGCGTCTTTATTGGCTTTGTTACAGTATCTTACTGAAGTAAATTTGAGCCTTCATAAACAGGAGCTGGCAACTCCATGTTGTCTTAGGTGCGGGATGGCTACCGCTGCCTGATACTTGCTGAAAGGTCTGTTCCAAACAGGGTCTTCTGAGGTAGGTACAAGAGTACTCCTGTCTCAGGTATATGCAGTCTAGTTTCTATGTATTAATAAAGAGACATCTTTATTGATAACAATCTTCAAAAACATCTTGGACGGTGGAAGGTAATCTATGTCTAGTTTCTACATATTGATAAAGAGGCATCTTTATCAATAATGATCTTTGATAACATTTTGGACGATAAGATGAAGTAGATGTTGGGATCTTTAGTTTGATAACAACATTCTTTAGTGAAAAGATACACCATAACAGTTATAAAAAACGGTAAGAGTCAAATAAAAAAGATAGGATCAATAAAGTGGATACTAAATTAGATACAATCTAAGTTAAAAGTATGAGCTGGTTTTTTAGTAAAAAGTTATAGAGTTTGATTTCTAAAAGTAAAGTTTTTGGTTTGTAAAAGGTTGTTCTTTTCTCAAGTTGCAGAAAACAACTGCTTATATATCATGTGCATTTCTCTTTGTGATGTCATTGTAACACAGGGTTTGTTGCACATGTTTGATGGTCTTTTGTAACCAATGCAATGTTACTTGTTTCTGATCCCTTACTCACATTCTTGGAATGTATCAAGGCTTAAGGAAATATATACCCTTCTTTAAGATCAGGGTCTTCTAAAGGTCGAGTATGTCATCATGATACCTTTCAAGCTGATGTACATATGTATTGATATCATAACCCATGTAAACCATTGTTATCTGGAAGCCTTCTTGGATAATCTTTATGACTGCCAATGGGAGTATCACCAAATACTCATCATGGCTGACAGAGTTTATCTGAGTACTGTAAGCTGTGTTGTTCAAGACCTGCTGGCCAACTTAATTACAAAAGAAGCAAAATGTAAAATTGGTTGAAAATGTTACAAAAAAGTTATAAATAGAATCCACCAATCAAGGAAGGGCTGTAATACATTTTCTTAAAAGGGTTTGCCTTTTGAGCAAATGTTGTTTATGAATACCATTTTCTCTGAATTTACAATGTTCTTTCAACTATGGTTGCTACTGCCAAAGGCTTATGAATCTCAGCCCAAAGCTTCAACTTGGATGTTCTCTCTCGAAAAGTCCAAATTCCAAGCTTGTAAGACCATGTTTAGGATGCCAGCCTGGCTACTTTCCATCTGTAGCTTTTCTAAATGATCAGATTACAACTCTTGTTTCTTTTTTCTCCTTTGTTTTTTTATTATCAAATTGAAATTTCCACTCAAAAACAACACCTGGACAATCAATGGATAACTGCAGATCAATGTTTGAGAAAAGCTATACATGCACAGACATAAGACTGAGGATCTCAAATCTGCTCTCAAATGTTCAAAATGTTAAGTTTTGAGTGAGAACATTGGATTTGGGCATGTGTGGTATCCGTCTGAAGTTCACAAGCCTTTGACAGTAGCAACCATACTTTTCTTTCTTATGACTTCCTTCATTTAAATGTATCTAATATATAAATACATCAAACAGACTCACATGAATGTTTGGTCCCCATTTCAGTTTCTCAGGCATATGGTGTATTTGCTTTTCTTGTTTCCTCATTTTTCTCTGTTCCTTGGTTTCCTTTTTGATGTTTTACTGTTTCTTTGTTTTTTACGCTTTCCTTATTGCAATATTAATTGTGCTTTTACTCTGGAAACCGTGCTACTTCTTTGTTGGTCTTGTCTATCAGGCATATGTAATTGTTTGCTTTTCCCGTTTCCTCATTTTCCCCTGTGGTTTTGTGGCCTCTTCTTCAATGTCCTGTCTATTGTTTTGTTTGTTCTTTATGGTTTTATCTTGGCAATACCGTACCTTTGTTCTGAATACTGTCCTTTTGTTCTGTGTCCTCCTACGCTTACCGGCTTTGCGTTTTTTAATCACCAGCGAACTTTCCCTTTTTTGGTTGTCCATATACACTTTCCTCTTTGTAATACCATGCTTTTGCTCAGTGTGCTTCTCCATTTATCTCCGTTTCTTGTTGTTCATATCAATTACATTCCTCTTGTTGGCTTTTGCAACCATTGTCATAAGCTCCTTTCTTTGGTTGTCCATGCCATTGCCAAGTACACCACTTTACTTTGCTGTTCCTTTGCAATTCTTTGGTGGCATATATATTCCTTGGGTGCAATTCTCCCTATAAATTCCTTTGGTTCTTGCTACATCTCTCCTCTCCTAAAACTGTCACATACCCCTCCTCATTCCCTTTTTTTATCTTGCTTACATTCAAATTCCAAGTTTTACTCAACTGCTTTATATTACCATCTTTCTTTGGATAAAGTCTATTAGCCGTGTTCAAACCTAACCTGGTTGACACAAAAACCTGGTTACCCAGTTGCTTTTTCTGGTGGTAACTTTGTGTATCCATTAACAGTTCTTGACAGCTTCCAGCCAAAATGTCCACTGGGTCAACTGGATTTTTTGAAACCGGGTCAGGTTTGAACACGGCTATTATTGAAACTTGTGATATCCAAATTTTTCTCAAGGTGTCCAACTTATTGGCTTCTGATCACACCTCCACTCAAATCAAATCTTTTCCTACTTCACTTCACAATGTAAACCTTCTGTAACCGTTCCACTAAAGCAAAGTCCCATACTTTAAATGTTTCCAGTCCAATGAATCCTGAGTTACTTATAATGCCCTGCATTTACTACCTTTCACCTTATTACACACATTTGCTTTCTGCTTCTTAGCTAGCACCCCAAAGTTCCTCCACCTACCCTTTGTGTGATACCGATTCATCAATTGTTTTGGGGAGATGAAGGAGGACAATTCTAGAGAGGTGCTTGAATTATTTACAAATCTTGAGGTGGTAATGATGTGCTTCCCAAGTTTGATACATCTTGTAAACAAAAGTAGTTTATGAGACCTGTTACTTGCTTGGATAAGGGTGTTGAGCTGTACTCAAAGTATCATATTGTTATTAATTGACACTTTTGCATTGAGCGTTATAAAGGAACACTGTTCATAGAGTGTGTATTATATAAGTCAAGATCATAATTGTTGTAAAAACTGGGATTGCAAGTTTGGTATTTGGCAATTGAACTGTTGCAGGCATGCCCGCATGTTCTCTAGTGTAAAGAAATTGTCCAATAACTTATAAAATTCAAAATTCAACTTTTCAAAAAAGCTTCTATATATAAACCTTTTTCCTAAGTAAAACAAAAAAAGGATCGAAAAAAAACATCTCAAAAAAACAACTCAAAAAAAAACATCTCAAAAAACAAAACTCAAAAAAACTCAAAAACAAAACTCAAAAAAAAAGGGGAGGTGGAATTTTACACCGCACCATTTTACACCATGTGAGTCGGTGTAAAGTTGACTTGGTGTAAAATTCCCAAAATACCCCCCAATTATTGAATTTTACACCTAATTTGATTTTTTTTAGTCAGTGTAAAAATTTGTTGTGTAAATATGTCAGTGTAAAAATATCCTACCCCGGTATCACCTTTAGTTTTACACCGTTTCAAACGGTGTAAAAGTTTCCGGTGTAAAAATCATTTCTTGCATGCCAATATGTAGTTTTACACCGGACAAATTTACACCATTTCAAATGGTGCAAAAAGTAACAGTGTAAAAATAAAACTCCGCCCCCTCACATTGGAAATTTACACCGCCAATTTTACACCGGCGCTGTAACATTCAAATCTTGCCCGAATCTCACATAAATGCCAGAAAGTGGAACGCCCGGTAAGTCCGGTATGATTATTAAAGAGGGAATTAACAGAGAGAGAGATGAAAACTACCGCAGAAACAAATGCAATAGAAAGAAATGAATTTAAAAAAATCAATTTGATTCGAAAGATAGAAAAATAAATGCCCGGTAAGTCCGGTATTGTATTAATATTAATATTAAAGATGGATTTGAAGTTGGAGAACGCTGAGTCAAACAAAAAAAAACAAGTTAATATATATCAACACAAAAGTAAGAGAAAACAATAACACTCACCAAATGAAAAGCACTATTTACCACGATGAGATTCAGCCTTGATTCAATTTCCTCACATACTTCCTCTTTGGCTTGGATGCTGCATCTTTCTCCGCGGGAGTTTTCCTAACGTACTTCCGCTTTGGCTTGGTCAACGCAGCAGAAGGAGCCGCCGATTCTGTAGGTTCATCTTTGACGTCTTCGACATTGATGTCCAGAACGGTGTTGGCATTTGCGTTGACAACCAATTGCGTGAAATCATCCGGCGTGATTTGAGGGCCTTGAGGATCAGGCAAACCGCCTCCAATGGGGAAAGACTTAGTCGGCAATGAAAAAGGAATGGTTGTGTGGTCGCGTGGGAAGGTTTTCATGAGGCCTCGTATGGTTTCTTCAATATGAGTCGTTTCTGTGTCGAAGGGCACACGTGAGTACATCCCCCAGCTGGTGTTAGGTTCACATCCAGCAATGGATGTCACATCACGTTCCAGAAGCTGGGCAATACCTCCATTTCAAGCTTCGTCATATAGCCATACACCTACAATACCCTCAACCGACCTAACCACCTTACACCAGTAATGATTCCAACCCCAATAACCCCGATTCATCATCATATATTCAATTTCGCCAACCCGGATGATTGCTGGCCAATCAGTTTCGGCCATGTACTTCTCTCAGTCGCTGAAACCCACCACACCATCTAGAAAGAAATACAGGTGCAATGGGGCTGAGGTTGATTCGGAAATACGAAATTTGATATTGACATCTAGCATTGACTTGGGTGTTTCATCGTCGAGGTCAGGTTTAGCGTCAGCGTTGTTATTAAGTTCATCTTCTTCTTGTTCGTCATCCTCGGTACCTTCATCAATAACCACAACAGGTCCTGAAGGGGGTTTGGGTTTGGGTTCATTTGGGTGACAGGCACGGCAGACCGTGGCCTCATAATTATAACCTTCCGATGCCCATTGATTGAGCATTTCACCCATTTGCCCATAAGTGAATCCACAATTTTCAAATGTGGAAGGAATAACCTGAAAGATGGTTTTTGATGTCATTTGGACGGTTGTATGACTGGGGTCGCGATGGCAAGTCGTAGTTGCTAGAACCGACTCGTTGGTTCATAAGCCCATGGGGACTTAGCGGGGCCATCGGGTCGGCCAAAGATCGGACTTACGTGTAAGGGATGATCGGAGGAGTTCATCCCTCGGAAAGATCACACGATAATCTCCGATATTACCTAGCCAGACCTCTACCTTCACCATCTTCACAGATAGATAGCTCAAGTTTTTGTTTAAGTTCAGACAAACAAAATTTTTCAAAATTTCAAAAAGAGTTTTTATAGATAACTTTATATTATATCTAAAAAGTACAAAATGAACATGGAGAAATCTTTATTGGAACGAATAGGCCAAGCGGAAGAAAACGCAACTAGATTAACAAGAGCTCAATCAGCGGCTTTAGAAAAAAGTAAGGCAGAGGGTCAAGGTGTAGGAGGATCAGGAGTATCCGGTCAAGATCAAAGTCAAAGTCACATACAAGATCAAGAAGGAAGTGCTACAAAAGAAAATGAAAATTCTCATATCACATCAAAAGAAGGAAGAACTCAAGACTTGAAGAATTTAGAACAAAGAGAATTAGAGACTTCGATTGATCAACAAAGGCAGACAGAAATAGAAAATGTCGTGAATCAAAATAGAACACAAGAAGGAGTAGATGGAATACCATTTATTCAAGTGACAAACGCGGACAAATCAGATGACGAATCTTGGCGACCACCGATGCGAAATCAAAAAGGGAAAGGTTGGAAGGAGTCATCACCACCGTCTGAGGAAGAAGAGATGTCAATCATAGGTAGTGGATCAATGGGTAAGTTTCAAGTCACTCAACTTCGAATCAATTTCACATAAGAATCAACATTACCACACACCGAATGTCATACCGCAAGAGGTAGTAGCACAGTTTTCTGATATAGAAATGTAACTGGAGCGAAATCTTGGTAGTTTCTCAAAGTGAGAATGTAACTATAACTATGGTGTGGTTTCTCCTAGAGAGAATGGAACTACAAGATGAAGACGCCAAAGATCAGATTAAAGATGATAGCCAAACATCAGATTCAGAAGAACAGTTACTTACCAGTAATTTTGTTTTTTTTTATCACCTTGACAGAAGGAGACGGATTGATTGCATTGCAAGCAGAAATCAACTTCTTATATGCTACTGGGAAGTTGAACGAAGGTGCAGCTTTGTTGGCAAAAGTCATTGAAATGAGCGCAAAGAACGAAGAGAGAGCGAGCGGATCAGGTCAACAGATTCAGGAAATCAGAGATCAACGTCAGAATCAACGGCTCGAAGAAGTAAGAGGCCAGCGTCAGGATCTCGAGATAAGAGCTCATGGAACAAATGGAAACCAGAACGATCGAGTTGAAGAGAGACTTAATGATCAAGTTGAAGAGCGACCGAATCAGAATCCGACAAGAGCTAACGTGCAACCAAAGGAGATGAGACACGCGGCGCCCCACCGGTTAATAAGGGAGAATTTATCCGAAGTCGGATCTGAAGTCGCTGAAGTTCCGAGGATTCAACAAGAATTGATCAGAGAAACTTCTCTTGTACGCTTAGACACCACGGGTGGAAGACAAGAAGGAGGATTGTCGGAAGCGGAGAGAGCAAAGGCGATGTTGGAATCAGGGAAAGGATGGATGGAATTGGAGAACGGAGATGTGATAGAAAATGGAAGATTGATTCTGAATAGTACAACAAATCAATTAGGCAAATTGTTAACAACCTTGAGCCCGGTACTCGCAAGTTACATGAAATCGTTTAAAGCTTACATACCTTTGACAGTTTTCAATAAGGCATGGTTGATATCGGATCACAATGCATGGACTGGGAAAGAGATGCCGTCAGAATCGAAGATTTTAAAAGGAAACGTGAAAATGTACAACGCTGAACCACCGACAGAAGAACTCACTATTCAATATGAGCAATGGTTAGATTGCATGAAGTTATTCATTTGTTACGTAGAAGATGCAGGTTGGAGGACTCAAACAGCTCGTTTCAAGAAACATCAAGAAATAGTGAGTGATCTATGAGAAAATATCGGTTGGATGGTGGCGTTAAGGTATTGCAGGAAGGTTAGGCAAGGTGTGATGAGAATGACTCTCGGGAAAGAGATCTGCAACATAGCGGAATTACAAACCACGATATTAGAAGAAGTGAAGCAAACGTGTGAGAATTTTGGTGAAAGAGCTTACGTAACAAATCCATACGCGCCAGGAGGACCTAGAGATCACCTCGATCCAGAAACAGGTCTGCCAAGAGACAAGAAGAAATCAGTTTTGATGTCGTCAGGATCTACTTCGAAAATCGAGAATCCTGAACCTTTTAAGAAGAAGAAAGAGTGGTTGCCAAAGGCACAATACAAGGCTCAAAAAGCGGCAGAACGTCAAGCGAATAGGAGCTGGAGAGATGAACGAGACTACAGTGATCGTTACACAAGAGGTTATGAATACAACCAAGGACACCGTAGCAGTGGCTATGATTACCAAGGTGGTGACAGGAAGCGTAATAGAAGCCAAAGCGGTGAAAGAGATAACAAGCCTTATAAAGGCGGTAAACCTGGGAAAGGTCGTTACCAGTGAGTAGATCCATGAATGAAAACCTGAAATGCATACCTGAAAAAGGGTTTTTTGGTGCCAAAGAGAGACAAAACGAGCACTTTGTGAGCAATTGAGATGACATTTGTTTTTTGTTTCCCTCTATTGAATAAGATCAGAAGTGAGAGTTGAGAGGAAAGAGAAATCTCGTTGGCCGCTAGAAGTTCGCTGCGAGATGAATTTGAAGGTGTGGAGAGACGAGTTGAGAACAATAGGTATCCTAGAGGAAAATCAACACATCTTGAGAGGTTTTGAAGTCGGATTTCATCAAGGCATCCCAGAAGAACCGATATCAGGAGTAAAGTTCTATTGCCCAAAGAATCACTCGTCAGCTGATGAAGCAAGAGTTGAGATAGAAGAAAATTTTAAGAAAGAAATTATGGCAGGAAGGATGTACGGACCATTCTCAAAGAAGGAGGTGTACGAACATATTGGATTTTTTCGAACGAGCCCAATTGGTGCTGTGATAAACGGTGACGGTAGTTTGAGGACGATAAATGATTTGTCATATCCAGAAATGACTCGAATAAATCAGTAAATGCGTG